TCATGCGTGTAAATGAACTTTATTTCCTGATTGAATGCAAAATTCTCTGAGGGATTTGTTTGCTGACGTCATGAGCGTGCACAATAGAAATATGAAGCAAACTCATGCAATTTGATCAGACAAATTTACTAGCTATGTTGTAAAATGAATTAATCGCATGACAGTGAGGAAGGGAAATTCACTTTTTCGTGTTGGTTTGATTCTTGGCTGGTTTAAAAGGCCCAGTGAGATAAACTATATACCAGGCATAAATTGACTTCACTAATTAAACAGCAGTATGTTTCACTTAATTTTCAACAGTGTCACACTTAATTTTGTGAACTTTTACTCCTTTTTTTGTTGAATAGACTTCTGTCAAACATGCATAACAGAGAGGGTCTTGCTTCTGCTTGCATGGTTCATTTACAGGGTATTTAAAGATATTTATCAAAGACGAGGGAAATAATTTAATGCAATGTTTCCTCCTCAACTCCTTGTGAGAAAATGGTTTCCTCAGGTAACATGACTTGTAAACCAATTATAATGAAGAAATTGAACTCAATCAGCTGATGCAGAATTTTTAAAATTTTTTCCATTCATAACCCAAAATTAGTTAATTTGAATTAGCTGCAAGAGAAAGGTAACAACTTGAAAAGGTTTCCTTCAAACTTGAGTTGTGTTGATTTGTTCTGTGTGTTTAAATTTAAGTGATTTTTAGGGTACTCTGAGGGACGGGACACAATTTGACAGCAGTATCCCTTGAGGAGAACCATTCATGTTTACATTAGGAGTGGGAGAAGTTATCAAAGGTGGATACTTGTGATATAGCATGCATGACTATGTGCAAAACAGGCTGATATTTGTAGTTTGCCATGATATTATGCATTTAAGCAAGTGATTGCACTTTCTACTGGTTTACCAATTAATTGCCCCATGTGGGAAGTGGGGAGAAGGCAAGAAACATTTGGACATCACAAGCATATGAGGATCTATTACTTTAATTTATTAACAAGCATTGGGTTTAATGGTTTGATAAACTTTAGGTTTCAGAATGTTTATAGTTAACTTAGTTCCTCAAACATCTCATATGTTTTTTTTACCCAACTGTTTTATTTTATAGTCATTTGTTATAAGGCAGGGAAAACAAAGCAAATAGAGGAGTGGTTTGGGACAGGTCTTGTAATGTTCTTGTTGGATTACATTTTAAAATAACCAACTGTCCAAACAGCTGAGCAATTTCACATGATATTTGTACTCAATTTGTGCATTATTTGTACTCTCTGAGAGCAGTTGAATAATAATGTAAGATATTTGGTTATATTAGAAGTGTTTTTACTATTTAATAAGTCATGATTAAATTTTTGTTACAGGATGGGATCAAGGACTATTAAAGTAAGTTACAACTATAGACCACTCATCATTTGTTTTTAAGTCTTATTTATACACAATAAATTCCTCTCTCCACATTACTTACATTTTCAAACTACTTCCTCAAACTTTTTCAGAACTGTACAGAACTTTAAAAAAAGTAAACTGTGAAAAGCAAGCTTTTAAACTTTGTTGTTCCGTATTTTTTAATTTTGTTAAAGCTGGGATGAATTTTGTAGTAAAAGCGCCAGTGCATATGAGTCATGAATAAGTGGTCTGGATTTAGTAGTCAGATGTAAGAGAATTTCTGGCCAGTGATTCAATGTTCGGTGTGCAAGCATGAAGTGTCAAGCATAGTCCAGACAACATGGCAGGTATAGATGTATCGGGGGTCTATAAAATTGACATTTTTTTGCTCTCTCTACTTATAGCTAAGGCTGAAGAGAACCTGAACAGTTACTAATAAACTGGCTTCAAACCATTCAGCAAATGTGGAACTAGCAGCAACATAAAATTATTTTTACCCTTGTGGTTTAACCTGTTCAATTACTTATGGATATTAAATTACAAAACATTAAAATCAACCTCTTTGGAAGTCTTTTTTATGCAATCTTGAAAAGCATCAGTTGATTAGTTGATGACTTGAAATACAGTTATTGCTAAAATTTCAAAAACTATGAAAAAAATGGGTTGTCATTTGATTTGGTATTGTTTTAGCCTACAAAGTATAATCTTACACTGTTAAATGGGCACTTGATTAGTACAGCAACTGACAATGACCAATGAAAAAGAGATTCAAGACAATAGGGTCAGCTGGGAAGAGCTGAGGAGGAAAGAGAAGAATAGGCAACAGTGACGTTCTCTTGTTATGATCATATGTGTCTTAGGGTATGATGAGGACAGGCTGACTGACATATGGTATAGTTCCTATAGTTCTTTTTGGTGCCCAGCTACCAGCTTTTCTGTTTTAACATTTTGCTGTTACTTACTCAAGGTATAAATAAACTTGTTGTTGTTATTGTTAAATAAAACTTTTTTTTCATGTTGTTTTTAGTATGTGTGAAGGAGAAAAGAGGAAACTTGTAATCCCATCAGACCTTGGTAAGTCCCTGCTCTGATATCTAAGTGTACAATTTATGTCCAATGCAGTGAGTAAGAATTGTAGCTAGTAGATACTAGTAGGATTGATAACGGGGCAACTTACCTTGCTTGAAATGCAAGCTTATGTAGATATAATAATAATAAAGAAGATATTGATGCTAACCTCTGAAATTGTGAAATCTGGAAAGATTTAATTTTGAATTATGGCATCAAAGTCACCCCAGTCGCCTCCTCCATAGATTTGTTCATTGAAACTCTGCCAGTCTCTCTTCACAGCCTGCAAGTTGCTAAATTGGATGCACATAATCTGACAAAAAAAGGGAAAACCACAAAACTACAATTATCCAATAAGGAATTATTAATTGCTCATAATTCATATTGTCTACACTCTTAAACTATGTATTTAACTTAAGGTCGCCAGAGAAATTTGAAGTAACCATGGTAATGCAAAACACAGGGCAACAAACCAAGTGGTCTATGAGCAATTGTGAAGTGGCAAATAAAAATTCCTTTGACCCCTAAAAGTTACCAGCAGCTAATATCTCCCTTTAGTATATACCACACAGGTGAATAGTACTTTTCACACGCACTGATTGGCTATTTGGAAGTGAATAGCAAGTACTAATCACCTTCCAGCAGCCGATGACACAGCACGTCAAGAGTTTAATTTCTGACCATATTTTGGTATATTGAAAGAAACAAACTAAATGTTTGGTATCTGTTTGGTACCAGCTGAAACAATTATTTGCATCCACTTTTGTGAATAATTGTTAAATAATATCAGCCCTGAGTCAGACATTAAGGTCACAAGAATAAAGGAAATCACCAACTAAAGAAGCTCTTGATTGTTACACAAAATTTTTCCTTTCAACACCCTTGGAAATGTAGAGAGAACAGTGTGGAAAATACCCATACTGATGTTAGGCCAGTTAAGGTGTAAGGGGTTCTTTCCTTGTGGGATACATGAAGGGCTTCTTCAATCATATTCCGGTATGAACTTGTTTCCTCAAAACGCAACTTAAAATGAATGTACGCCAATTATTTTATCTTTTCAGGGGGCGCTACATTGGTATTTGAGGTTGAGCTGTTGAAGATAGAGCGAAAAACAGAATTGTAATCAGATCTTGAACACCATATAGCGTGAAGGAAATCTTTTGATGTCAGAACTTTTTGAAAATAAAACTGTCTTTAAGAAAATCATAGAATACTTTCTGTTCATGTTAATTACGCTTCATATTTATTTATTTTTTTATTTAGATTTTCGGGAAAGGACGGTTTTTGATTGACGAGAAAAGTGTTCTTTGATTTTGTGGGTAGAAAGTTATCGGTTTTTGGGCATATCTCTAGCACAGAATTTGTCCCCGCATTTCAAACTTGAATTTCTCCCCCCTGCTCCTCAAATAGACTTCCTGTTGACTTTTTTGAGTCATGGGTTTGGATTGCCATGAGTTTTCTTAAAGGAACCAATCACACCCGAAGACTTCTTACTACAGGTAATGAGAATTTGGCGCAATCATTAAAGCGTGCTGTTGTCAAGTGCCTTAACAAGCGCCTTTGCAAGCGTCTTGACCAGCGCCTTTACAACCATGTCCTGGAGGGGCTCCTAATGACCGTTCAATCTTAAAATATCCATTTAGCGATTAGAACCCCTAGCCGAGTCTACATGAAAAATTTGAGCCAAATCAGTGAACCTGCTTGTCCGACCAGCCTCTCGGTTTGCAATTGGAAAATTCGCTTAAACAGAGTGTTCATGAACACTTTATAGCATTCAAACGCATAGGAAAAATCTGTCGTAGTATCGGTAATACTAGGATTAAATACAGGTCTTAAAAAATTGTGCCATTTTAATTCCAACAAATCTGATGTTCTTGACACGAACTAATTATAACTAGGTCTAATTCCTCCAAAAGTTAATTAAAATTTCCATTCGACTGAAACTAAGATAATCGAACGATCAAACGACCAATTATTTTTTCAAGTTCTATGGAAATCTTTACAAAAACATATGGCTGTAATAGCTTTATGTAAACCTTAAGGCAAAAACCGATTGAAAAAATCTGATGTTCGTGACACAAGAACTAATTATAACTAGAAAAAATTCCTCCAAAAGTTAATTGAAATTTCCATTCGACTGTAACTAAGCTAATTTAACAATCAAACGACCAAACGACCAAACGGCCAAACGGCCAATTATTTTTCAACGTCTATGGAAATATTTACACACGCATATGGCTGCAATACTTTATATAAACCTTAAGGCAAAAACCGATTGAGAAAAAAAAATTGCAAAAACATTTTGGGAAAACGTTTTCAAGGTGTTTCAACTAAAACTTGTTTAGAGATAACAACCTCTAATTCATTTTAGATAAAAAATGTGATGATGATTTCAATACATCACTAATTTAAAAAAATTACTTTTAAGCTAGTTCGAACAGTTCATTAAAAATAAAAAAATGCAAAGTCTTTTTTTCTTCTGCGTGTCCAAAATCCTTATAGCTCATAAGAGCATTTAAGACGTGGAGAATCAACTTTTGCAAAACAGAGATCCATATGGGCTCTTGAAGACTCTTTCGCTTCTCCTGCTCTTAGTAGAGGACTCCTACAGAGATTTTATAGGTAGCCTTGTGGTTTCTGCTCCAAATATGAACGCTTGCGGGCAACTTTTTACTTTCTTGGGTTCTGTCTTTTCTATGATACAGCTCCAATTCTCACTGCCTTAACTGAAAAGTAAAAAAAATTATAATTCAGGGAGAATCGTTGAGATCATCTAAAATTTTTCATTCGGCCTTACTACATGAAACGATAAACTGCCCAACAATTATTATAGCAGAAAACTGTTTTTCACTCCTATCAAATTATCTAAGAAAAAGTCTGTGCCCACTCAATTTAAAAGCATTTCAATTTCTTCGGGAAAAAAAGAAACTCCCAAACTTTACACAGCAAGATAACAAAAAAAGCATTTATGATCAAATATGTATCTCTAATTTGGATTTAAAGTTACTTTTTAGTGCATAAATGTTATGAAAAGAATAATTACATGGATCAGCAACTAAATGTCGTTGAAATCAAGTGTGACGTCATCACCAATGAGTACAAATGGTGCCCAGTACTTCACCTCCTTGAAAGTTTCGGATTTTCTCAAACACTTCATGGCCTGATTGAGAGCTTCACTTGCCTTCTTGCCGTTAGCAAGTGCATCGTAGAAGAAACTCATGAACTCCAGGGTTCCCTCGTCTGCAATCGCCCACAAGGTTACCACAACTGATCTAGCGCCAGCACCCAAGAATGCTCGGGCGATGCCAACCACACCCTCGGCCATGACCTCCCCACGAGCACTGTGACAACAACTTAGAACAACCAGTCGCGCCCGCAGCCCAGCTTCCATGACATCTTTCATCGTCAGTAGATAGTCCTTCTCTTGAGGCTGAGGGTTTTCTCTTGTCGTATTTGGTGCCAGGATAACTTCACCAGTTTCCATTTTACCATGTGCTGCTATGTGTACTAAAGCCACTGATGAAAGTCGTTTCAACACTTCATCTTTTGTTGCTATTTCTCCAATAAGGGGGGGAATGTTGAGAATTCGTCCAATCATCTCCGCTTCTCTCCTTGCTCCCGGAAGTTGCACCAACCGTTTTCCTTGATAGATGATCTCTTCAAAACATGGGTCGCCAACAAGCAATGCACCGCTCTTCAGGTGAAATTCAGCTGGGCAATCATTGATTAGTTGTAAGGTCGTCAGGGACGGAAGCAGGCGGATTCTGAATAAATCACTCAGATAAGTTGACTTCGAGTCCTTTAATGCTGCATAAGGCACAAGACAAAATGGTCCCTCAGGAACAACCGTAAGCTCGTTTCCTTCGATCAGATCAGCAATAGGAGTAACGATGATGTCATAAAGCTTCTGTAGAGCACTTGATTGTGAGTACCTTACATCAATTTGAATGATATCATTCGCCACTTCCGTCGCTTTCGGCGATTCATGGGAAGGATTTTCGCATTTAACAGCATCGATCTCCTTCAAGGCAGTTCTGTTCAGTTGCTGGATGAAAACTTCCAATTCCTTCTGATACTTATAATTGTTGACATGTACCTTTCTCAACTGGACATTATCGTCGCTAAGGAAAACCCAGTAGTAAACGCACGGTCCACTGATAGCCATGAAGACTGTACCTAATGGAACAAAACTCAGGGTAAGGAACGAGCCGCTGTTCGTTGAAGAATCTCGGGGCTGATATTTTGTGTCTAGCAGATCTTTTAGAGCTTGAGCACGTCCTTTTTCTGCGGTAAGAAGAGCCTTGAGAAACTCATTTTGAAATAGGTTTATACGCCACAAGCCTGTGTATGCACTTTTATGCTGATTACGATAAGAAATCTTCCACTGATCGTTGAATCGCAGACCGGCCCTGATACTATCAAACGCCTCTACAGAGGAGTGAAAGCAGTCAAAGGCCCTCTTGAGATTTCCTTGGCACTCAAAGTTACTTCCAAGATAACAGAGTGAGGATGCCTCTCCGGCCTTGTCTCCCACTTCTTTAGCAATTTCTAGACAACGTTGATGGTAATCGATTGCTGTTTTGAACTGTCCTAGACCAAGATAAGCGCAGCCGAGATTGCCATAACTCTTTCCCTCTCCGGCCTTGTCTCCCACCTCTTTAGCAATTTCTAGATGACGTTGATGGTAATCGATTGCTGTTTTGAACTGTCGCAGACCATTATACGAGCAGCCGAGATTGGCATAACTCTTTCCCTCTCCGGCCTTGTCTCCCACTTCTTTAGCAATTTCTAGATGACGTTGATGGTAATCGATTGCTGTTTTGAACTGTCCTAGACTATCATAAGCGCAACCGAGATTGGCATAACTCTTTCCCTCTCCGGCCTTGTCTCCCACTTCTTTAGCAATTTCTAGATCACGTTGATGGTAATCGATTGCTGTTTTGAACTGTCCTAGACTATCATAAGCGCAGCCGAGATTGGCATAACTGTTTCCCTCTCCGGCCTTGTCTCCCACTTCTTTAGCAATTTCTAGATGACGTTGATGGTAATCGATTGCTGTTTTGAACTGTCCTAGACTATCATAAGCGCAGCCGAGATTGGCATAACTGCTTCCCTCTCCGGCCTTGTCTCCCACTTCTTTAGCAATTTCTAGATGACGTTGATGGTAATCGATTGCTGTTTTGAACTGTCCTAGACTATGATAAGCGCAGCCGAGATTGCCATAACTCTTTCCCTCTCCGGCCTTGTCTCCCACTTCTTTAGCAATTTCTAGATCACGTTGATGGTAATCGATTGCTGTTTTGAACTGTCCTAGACTATCATAAGCGCAGCCGAGATTGCCATAACTCTTTCCCTCTCCGGCCTTGTCTCCCACTTCTTTAGCAATTTCTAGATCACGTTGATGGTAATCGATTGCTGTTTTGAACTGTCCTAGACCAAGATAAGCGCAGCCGAGATTGCCATAACTCTTTCCCTCTCCGGCCTTGTCTCCCACTTCTTTAGCAATTTCTAGATGACGTTGATGGTAATCGATTGCTGTTTTGAACTGTCCTAGACCACGATAAGCGCAACCAAGATTGGCATAACTCTTTCCCTCTCCGGCCTTGTCTCCCACTTCTTTAGCAATTTCTAGATGACGTTGATGGTAATCGATTGCTGTTTTGAACTGTCCCAGACCACGATAAGCGCAACCAAGATTGGCATAACTCTTTCCCTCTCCGGCCTTGTCTCCCACTTCTTTAGCAATTTCTAGATCACGTTGATGGTAATCGATTGCTGTTTTGAACTGTCCTAGACTATCATAAGCGCAGCCGAGATTGGCATAACTCTTTCCCTCTCCGGCCTTGTCTCCCACTTCTTTAGCAATTTCTAGATGACGTTGATGGTAATCGATTGCTGTTTTGAACTGTCCTAGACTATCATAAGCGCAGCCGAGATTGCCATAACTGTTTCCCTCTCCGGCCTTGTCTCCCACTTCTTTAGCAATTTCTAGATGACGTTGATGGTAATCGATTGCTGTTTTGAACTGTCCTTGATTATAATGAGCTATTCCTAGAAGGTTACAACGGATTCCCTCTTCGATCTTTTCTCTTTCTACTTTGGCATTTCCCATAATACACTCGTGGCTCTCTATTAATGTTTGAGATTTGCTCAGTAAGTGAAGCAGAGGTTTGTTATCCTTCTCAATCTTATATGGGTTAAGAATAAATAACTGATGAGTGGATGTGTACAAATTTCAATAAAAATATAAATATGAGAGGTACAATTCTATAAGTTGAGACATTTCATGTATGTGAATCGCTGAGAAAATAAGTATGTCAGTCAAATCCTAGAACCTTACATTTAAAATTTGCATTTTTACATTAACTGAAATGATACCGATTCTAATTTTGAAACAATGGCTGAAATATTTCCAGATTGTGAATCGAAAAAGCTTCAAGAATTTATAGAAAATGCAGGAAATGTAAACACCAAAAAAAAGACCTTTATGTGGCCAACAGTTCGGACGACGTGGGCTGAAGAAAAACGGATCCGTCTGGATATTATGAGCTTCGAAGCCAAGGAAATTGATGTGAATCTGAAGAAGTTTTTATCTCAGAAAGAATGACGACTCGGATTATAAGTCAGACAGTTTGGGGTTAATGTCAGCCTCACTGGACGTTCTTTTAATGGAAGCTTGTGGTATTTTGCAGAATTTTGGAACATCGCTCTCGCGGTGTTTTTCTCAAACACCCCTAAAAAACATGCGCTATTCCTTAAACAAACCTTAGAAAAGGACATACCTGTCGAAAGTGGATTTCTTTTGACGATTTCCTATTTTAAATATTTTTCTTGCCAGAGTGAATATTAATATAAGTGTTAACAAGCTCACTAGGCGTAATCATTGTTTGGTTTGGGCGTCCTGCTGATATTCTTAGAGAGACACTGATGAGGGGCGTTCTGCGAATTAGATAAAATTCCCCTTCTGTCAAATGAAATGTTTTGGAATAACTGAGAATATTTTAGTTTCTTTTAACTGCTCAGCTTGGTGTTAGTGAACACTACTTGCATTTCTTTGCGTATAACGTTTGAAACACTCGTTAAAGGATACGGCCAATCCCATATGTAGCCAGCTCCTTGCTTCTTTGTACAAGCAAAGCTCCACGCAAGCACTGGCAGCTGAGAAGGTAATGACGTGAGGTATCTAATTAATTACTATCCACATATAAAAGTAGCCAGAAAATCGTCTCACACCCCATTCACATGAGCAAAACATTTTTAGTCAAACCGGGTTTAACTGAATGAAAACCAGAAAGAGAGGACTGAAAAACTGAATTTTCCATAGAATTCATACAATCGCTTATTTGCATTTTCAATATGTTATATGTGAAGTCGACTAACATCGGTTTATACTAATTCTATGAAGAAAAAATTAAAACTGTATTTAACAAAACGACTTCAAACATGTTTAATCTTTGGTGTAAATGAACCATTACCGGTTTAATTTTCATTTATAGCTCACTGACCTTAACTTGCACTTTTTATCTACATAGCAAACATTCACGGGCCAGTTATTGTTGATACCCGAGGTACAGTCAGCTGCCGTAATCCATACAATTCTCTTGAAGAAACCACAGAAAAGTGGTTTGATGAATTTTGACTGCAACACCCACCTTTCTTAATAGCTTTGATTAAATTGGGTTCCAACTGAACAGAAACTGTTGCATCATTGAGACATTCTTCGTAGTTTCCTAAGGAATTCAGGAACTAAGTGTCAGTCGTCATCACGTGCCAATTTACGTATCCGTCTTTATACCTGTCCTAGACTTGGCCTTAGTTAAAACCAGGAGAAAATCATTTTATCAGGTAAAATTGGGGGAGACAAGGTTCACATTTTGACCCAGATTTGACCCAGATTTAAGAGAATGTGGTCAAACACCTTCGTTTTTCGGCTCTTGTCCTTTAGATATTTCAAACTTGGCAACTGAGTTTGATCACAAGAAACTCACAGATTTCATCTTAGGGCAATTCTCCTTATATTGATTTTTAGTTTGTGGTTTACTTATCAAAGAAGCAGCTCTACGCTTCCTTGGTATCATATTAGTCCATCGCTGGAGTTGCCTTCTCATGCCGAATAAGCCGACGCATACCCGAATTTCTTGAGTGCTGTATTACAAATTATTTCACTTCTCCTTAGGGAACGATGTGTTTCGGAAAAAGTATTGTTCTTTGCAACCTTGACGACAATATATAAAAAAAGAGTAGATTACTCGGATCGGGGAATTTCGGTTTTTCTAAAGCTTCTTTCCGCTTTAGACTATATGACCCTGTAAGTGCTTTGACCATATTTAATTGCTTTTCCGGGCATCTTTTGAGAGGATTCCTTGCTTTTTTCTCCATAAAATTCGTCTTTTGAAAAATTCATTTATTCTTAAGTTAGTAGATGGCCGAGCCATTATTTCGGTAGTCGAGTCAGCAGAATATGAGTCACAACGACTTGCGAGAGGATTACCACCTTGATTTAAGGATACGCACTTTTTGAGGGGTAACCACCATAAACTAAATTGTTCCGTTTTAGCTTGATATAATCGTAAGCCGGCTGAGACGCAACAATTCGAAATGGAAGATGTTATACTGATTGAATTAGACGCGTAATTAATTTTAACCACAGAACGGATAAACCTCCGCACAACATCAGTCCTGAGATGTTGGTCTTCGAACCTGTGTGGGAATTTCGATATTCTTATTAGTTGCTTTGCAATTTATTTGGCAATTATGCTTATCATAATTTACGGTAAGAATATCTCACAATTGCGATGAAACTTTGCATGAGAATTTCATCCTAATGGAGAATTTCCACGTGTGTGATCGACATAAAATATTCAAGTTGCCAGTTTCATTTCAATATTCAGGCGACAAATGATGCAAAAAATGGCAGGGAAGACAGCAGGCGAGGAGAAAATCCTGTTTAAAATGGGTGCAGAATGTACATTCATTATCTTCACTGAGTACGTTCCATGAGGAATTTAGTAGTTCCTTTAAGAAGATTCTTACCCAAATGGAAATGAGCCGCTGCTCTGTTGCTATAAAGCTTGGCGTTCAGCCGTATATCTTCGCAGTTCACTTGAAGACCTTCCGAGTAGGAGTTTATCGCGTTTTGATGTTCTCCCTGTCTGTATTCTTTGTTACCTTCCTCGAGACATACTCTTGCTATATCTGGAAACACACCGGTTTAACATTAATGATTTCATTTTAACAAGGTTTTGTTTTCATGTTGTTAGATCACCTTTCTAATTCCTATCCTTTACAGGCCTTTCATTCTTTTCAAACAGTCGGTTACTGTATATATGGGCCCGCCGACCACAAACCCTCACCCCAATGATATCCTAGAGTTTTGCAAACCGTTAACTCTAAGGTGATGTTTTGAATCACCTAAAATAGTCTCCAGACCAATGAAATTCGGGAACTCTGGCCATATATGGTGTGGTGTGTTTGAAGGAACGCAGAATCAGATAAAACTTTTTGCAAACGTTATTGTCGATTTTCACAATCAGTCTCCTCTCGACCTTAGTTGCAAATGGTTTATCACAAATGTTTTTTAATTGTATCAGGATACATTTAGCAATAGTAGTGATTCATAATTTATAAAAAATCTACAAAGAGTACGTGATGTAAATAGGAAGCATTCTGGACATTTTCTTTGATTTTGATTCAAATCTATCCCTGATACTGAGTACGATACTAATTTTTTCATCACATTTTTCTTTTATTTTTTCGCGGTAATAGATTTAATGATGATTTTCATTCCATGTATATATAGACAATTGTACACCTCACACCTACAGCTTGTTCGTGACCCACGCAGCAATAAAATTCAGTGTTTCTCTGTTGATAGAGTTTGAAATTCGAACATATAGTTTCTGTTTCAAAAGTTATTCACAGAATAGATAAAAAACTTTAATGAAAACGTGCCTAATTTAAAACCACACCGAGGCGTCTTTTAAAGAATCTAATTTCTCACCTCTTAATGGATCATCGTATACCTCCAGTTTGGTGTCATTTGATGTCACTTGACTTTCGTTTGTCCCTGAAATTCGATCGTTTGATAAACATCATTAATATTTCCAGAGAAAACGGCAAAAATATGAAAAATAAAACTTTATTAAAATTAATTATTATGGGTAAAAATTCATTTATAGTCCATGCGAATTGCTCTAATTATGACGACCGAGTTTGAAAAGCGCTTGCTGAAAACTGATGTTCAGATCCTTTCTTCCGTGATGTCAACGGCCATTTTGAATCGTTATGCGGATTACCGCTGTACTTCCAGTCCCAGACTTGCCGCTCTTGATAATACCCACTAAAGATGTACTTAACTATTCCACCACTAAACATTACAACCGCTTCAAAATGACCATGTAGCTGCCTTTTTCTACTGCTCTCTCTCACCTGTGACCCGAATCTCATTGTTCAAATCCAGTTCTTCTCCCGTTGTCGGAAGTTTACTCTCCGCCATAGCTGGAAATAAAATAGAATAGAATTTTACTGCGCTTGAAAACATCCTCACGAAACAAAAAAGGATGCTAAAATGAAAATAATACAAAAATAAAGGCGGAGACAAACTCGTCTCTGATACTTAGATGAAACGAAAGAGTGAGAATTTCAAAGTTTTCTCCCTCATGCTGTTGTGATGGGATTTTGCTTAAAAAAATTCCCCACTCTCTGGATACGGACGACAGTATAATGCCTGTGGGTTTCCCGTGAAACGGGGTTGTTGAATCTTCGAGTTGTACGGCGCATTTTACAAACTCAAAACACAGTCAAGGGTTTTCACAACTGTCACGAGTTCTTCCCAAATCCCGCAGCCTATTATGCAAAGAAACGCGTTTACAAACGATCATCTAAACATAACTATCAACCAATTAGAGCGAGAGTAAGATTTCATTTGGTTTACGTATTTTCTTGCGAATTTTCCATAGCTCTCGTGAATCAAAGTTATCAGTGCGTTTTTCCAAAGTGTGAAAAAGGCTCCAGCGAATAAAATATTCCACAAATATTCTTCTAAAGAGGGCTAAGTAATCATGAATGACCGGAAGCCACTAACCCGTGACAAAATGTGTTTTGGGAAAAGTCTTCCTTTTTCATTTCTAATTTATTATGATCCAGAGTTTTCTGAATAAGATGGTATTTTAGGAGCTGTATATTTATTTTGCATCAGCCTTCTGTCTATCGAGAACAATAATCTGCTCACACATCAAAAGCAAGTGGAGAACCAAGCGCTGGTTCCCGCATCTTGTAGTCCATGGAGAGACTTTGCTGCCAGATTGTAGGAGCATTTGAAACCGAAATAAAACTGAAAACACCTTTTGATATCACAAAACTAAGGAGAAATTAAAAAATTTTTGTAAATGCATTGCTGACATAAAAGAATCTGTTGCTATATAATTTTGAAGGGGATATAAGGAAATTTCTCTTGTTAGACAGGCGTGGTACTCTCCGCGTCCTTCAGAGCAGGATTCTACGCAACCATCAGCATTCTCCGAGCCTGAATGTTTACTTTCCGAAGTAAACACGTGAGCCAATGTAGTTCGTCATTGCTCAAAGAGAATTTCTGCCAAAACCGAATTTCGACCGAACCGCGAAGTACTACGAATCACCTTTTGGATGAGTAGTTTAAATTGTTGAAGAAAAAATTAATATTAATTTTCGAGGAGGTCGAACGATGCTTGCAAAGCTTCGAAAAAAAAAAAAAAAGCAAATAAATAAAAATAAATGGTAACGTCGGCGAAGTTTCATTTTCATACATGATCAAGAATTCGTAATAATTAAAATTTAGGGTTAAATTTTTCATTTTCATGTTACATCGCTCTTTGTCACGTTACTCCAATTTCTCGTCTTTTCTTTTTTTTATTTTCATGTGGTGTAACCCACGAGCGAACAAGATTAAGGCGAATCCAGCTGTGCTCTCTCGGAATTTTCCATATTGAAGTCGAAAAAAAGAAGTGATGTGCTTGTAGTTGGTTCATCACTGTAATTGTAATTTCTTAACCAGAGATTTTTTTGTTTCACAAACATAAAACGTTTTCCAGCAGTTTTAAATACAAAGGAGCCACGAATATATCTCCTTGTAAGTCAAAATAAAGAAAACTATAACGAGTCCCGCAGATTCATTCATTTTGGTAACCTCTTGGTTTATATAAATAATTTTTCTGTATAATATATCCCTCATTGACGAAACCATCGTCTCGGTCCTTAACAATCCTGAGAAGGAACTTGGCCGAACTTACACCTTCTTAAGCTCATGATCAAGCTTGTCCAGTTGCGGGGTATTACGTGTCATGATTAACAATTATTCGCCGCAGGCTCAGTGAATATTGTTGAATAATCCCTGAGACTAATCATCGGAACAATTACACTATAGTAATTTATAATATGAAAACTGTTTAGTACCTGTTAAACCGCCATCCTCTGAATCGGTTTATCCTCCAAAAGTTGTCATTATTTCTAAATGCCTGAAAATATCAAGAATAATACGTTTTGCTTTACTAAAATTTCGATAAAACCATGAAAGATTTCATATTAACGAGCAATAGATCAGTCTTTAATCCCTTGTCACGAGTAAATAACAAATCTCTTCAAATGTCCAGTTTAGAAAATTAAAATTGTTCTTTTACTTCATGAAAGTTCTCGTGCTTGTCTTTTTCTTTGTTTTTGTTCTTGCTCTCCAATTTTGTGTACATTTTTAATGTTTCCGTATTCCTATTACTTCATCCCGCGATTGAGACTTAGGGTCAGTCATTTTCCTTTCAATATAGGACACAAACTATCCGCAATTCAAAATCCTCTCCTCTATATAAAACTGAATTGACAAGGATGAAGAGAACCTACGAGTTATACTGTTATTGTACCAAGAGCTCAAACGGTGCGCATAATACTGGAATCAGCCATGCTCACGTTCAAGTTAGTTTCATAAATCTCTCTTGGGCAGATAAATCAGCTACTTCAATGTTTATTATGTTTATCTTAGTGTCAGCATTGAGAAATAATTCCTTCATCGAATTCAAACTAATAAAGAGAGAGGAGAAATTTTTTGCTCGGAGGTCGAATAAAGAAAAATCTTTTTATCCGTCACGAGTGTGTAATTAAGAGAATCTAAGCATCTTCGAGGATTCAGTCTCTAAACCCGTAGATTTCGATGTTTTTAATTTCTCCATTCGACGATGGAGCTTGAACTTTACTCTCTTTCTTTATTTATTTTCAGACATGACGCTTTCGACAACTAAGATGCCAGCAGAATGCGAGAAGTTTTGTCAGATATGAACCCAGCGTATGTCTTGACTCACTAACGAGGTCTTTTGTAGCTTTAGACTGGAGATTTAGATCATAAAATTTGAATTTCGAGGTTCGAATCCTCGAGGGAAACTAGATATTTTTCTTTCTCCCTCGCCTACGACGAATTAATGTCATATTTCTCTGATTCTTTCGTATTAAGTTTAAATTTTTTTCATGTGTATTTAGTCGTTAATTCAGTACTCACTTGTAACTCTTGTGATATTGTGATTTTCCCCGCAAGCGTATAACAAAACGATATACTTGGTAACACGAGCAGTTTCGAAGAGGCTGAATACAATTATGAGCTTATTAAACTGAAAACAAAAAATGGTGTATCATTTGTTAAATTTGTAAGTCACGAATCTATTTTTTGGTCCTGCATTCTATTTTACTTTTCAATCGTCATGCTGGAACTGGATGTCAAATAAATCTTCAGCTTTTTCATTTTCGTGTTAGGAGCGGAGTAGGTCACAAATATGAATGTAACGCTGAGTCTAACTTCCCAGCAGCCACGCACAGTCTCATTGACTAAATGTTCGGTAGTCAGGAATTTTTACAGAAATTCTACTGAGAGGTTCTTTCAAACTTCTTAATAGTGTTGGATGCTTGTTAAGAAATTTCATATGAATTCAAAGTTTAGTAAGTTTTTTGGTTGACGAGTTATTGCCTAGTGTCATGTAAAGAGCGTTTGATCCGATCATGAAGTCATTTCCCATGCACCCGTTTCCTGTCACGCTCTCGTCGCCTTCGCGGTCACACAACAAGCAAGAGCTGGCACTAATTAGTGTTAAGAATTACTAACAGAAATATAATTCCTTGAGTGAAGCTTAAGCGTACAACATGGCGTTTATAGGTTAAATTTGGACTGACCAAAAATCACTGTAAATTTTTCAGGTGCACCTGATGGCCGGCAAACTTGAAACTCACCTGACAAAGAAACTAAAACCTCGTCGTAGCTTGAACTTATCTAACACTTTAAAAACATATCAAAAAATTTTCTTTTATATCGATAATAAAAAATGTATCAAAGAGACTACATTTTGATTTCAGTCGAAGAATTCAACCCCAACGGATTTATTTGCGACTTCTATCACTGCTCGTGTCATTAGAGAAAATCGCGAGAAAATTTCCTTATTGATTAGCGCTGGTGCACACACATAGTCATTTGCAACTAACCTTGGAATAAGTTGGTGGCTGGGATGCATGCGGGCACTGGCCTTGACGTTAAGCCCTCAGCACTCTCTTCGGGAAAGCTGGCTTGGGAGCGGGCCATGCCCGCCTTCATAAACAGTAATGCCACCACAAGATAGCTATACTCTCAAAGACGGTTATGTAAAAATTTCAAAATTTGCTTCTCAGCAACTGCTGCATCAAATTTAAATAAACAAAGATAGAAGACCTCTTTAGAATAGATACACTGAAGACACTACTGCAACTTTGAATCTGTTGAATTATGCCATTCTTTTTAGTCAGCCTGTTATTAGAGTATTTTGCATATGGTTGGGTAAGAACAGAATAAGAAAGAAGTTCGAAAGAAGGTTTATTCCCCAACTACAATGCTTTGTATCTCCAAGACACTTCGCTGATCAAAACTTTCTTCACGGCCATCGGTGTTTTAACTCGCTGAACAGGAGTTAAAATCAAATTCTTTGAGGGACGCGAGATGTTCTTTATATAATCAGCTTATAAATCGGTTAAATGTTTGTCGCTGAAATCGAGAATATATTTATTATTTCCTATCAACAAAATTGTGCCAAAGGCAGGAATTTCAGATAACGAACGCTTAGAATTTTGTAATTGATGAGTATCAGGAAAGAGCAGATTTGAGCGTTTCTTTCGTTAGAGCTAAATGTTTGGAATATTTTATCAAAAATTCCACTCAAAAGCAATTTTTGTGTTGCTAGGAGCCCCACGGGATTATTCCACGGTTAGAAGTCAGCGGACACCCATCTTATATTTCTGTTTCTGGCGCGCGCCTAAATAAAATGCTGCTATAATGACGCAATCTAATTGTAAATAGGAATCAAGAAACCATTACGAAGGCCAAGATGGTTTTTGTAACGTCTTGGATAAGTTCTTTTACATTCGCATGTTAAAGGGAATATTTTTCGCAGAAGTCAGAAACAGAATGCAAAGAAAGGTAGGTCTTAAATCATTTAGTCCAATTTCAATTAATTCAATTAATTTCAATTTGGTCAAACTCTTACAAGCGGGACTGTTATGTAAGTGCTTATGTTCCTTTTCTTTGTGCTTGTTTAAACATCTAGTCTTTTGGTAGTTTCGCCCAGTTTTTATACCAGTTTCTTTGCAACCTTGTAACACGTGGCTTACTTTGTTCATGCTTTGTTAGTAAGCTGCTCGTTTTTCACACTCGGTTATTAGTTTTGTTAGAATTCGTTTTCAAGCGGTTCTCCTTTATCCTTTAAAGATAGTCTTTTGTGAGTTTGTTTTAGAGTTTTAGCTAGTCTTTTGTGATCTTGCTTTTATATCGGAATGATTGGAATGTTGGTCCGTATCTTAGAATTTAGCTTAGCTTCTTCCTTATAATTTCATATTTCAGTTTACGATAAGTACTTGGATACCTCGACTACGGTAATAAAACGATTGAAGTCTTTTCCGTAAAATATATCCTCGCTTCATAGTGCGTCTTCATTAGCGAAACTCGTAGTTGTCGTTGAAATTTTCTTCGCTTGTGTCGGCCGCTACATGCTCTTATTTGTCTTTATTTAGCTGGTGATATACGGCTGAGCAACTCTAGCGGAGTAGAGGTTTAACTTTGAGGGATCTGGGGAGCAATATCTGAAAAATAGTTCCTTGACATTTAAATTTATTATTCCTTTGACATTCTTCCTTGAACAATCATACTTTTTTAAAACTTATGAACAAAATAACTGCACAATATATGAATACTTAAGATAGCTATCCTTAACTAAATTTGAAAATTTATCGTTGATATAAACCAGAAATCGAAGGAAAATTTCTTACAGTAAATATTTCTTACAAAATATCTCTATTCACCATAATCAGTCCACTTTCAATCATGAACACTCTAAGTGGTATCAAGTCAAAGATTTGAAATTTTCATTTGTATGTATATTTCCATTCTGTAAATGAAACCCTTACGATCAATTTCGTTTAATTTACAAGTGAAACCCAGTAGCTGGGGACATCACAATTTATAAACACATATGTTAGTTACCCCCGAGAGGTCCATGCAGTGAAAAACTGTGACTAAGCTCTTTAAATTGCGGTTCATGGCTGCAGAATGAGGGCAGTACTTTCGTGTGCGGGGTCACAGATTGTCCCGTTTTGCCTGACCCCATGGTGTTTACCAACACAGTTTGTTTGTTTTTTTTTCTGACAAAGAGACCAAAACAAACATTCATGGAAGCCTTACCATGAGCCTAAGCAGAGATGGCAAAATCCATTCCGAATTAATAACCAATCAGATGACAGGAATTGTTACAATGCCCTCTTAGTCTAAGAAAAAAATAAACTCATGACAATCAGGTATCTTTGACATTTCACTAACTTGCACACATCAGTTCATGGAGGTTTCGCCCCACTGAGAGAGTTCCCTCCTTACCACTGCGGCAAGCTTGCCCCCACCTTAATCAATTTGCATCACATACTTGTTTGCTGTCAAAATTGTAACATATCGAAATAAAATGCAATGATGCAGCAAAACCGTGACAAAGTATGATGACTATGCAAATTCCTAGGCATGTTATGCAATGACCAACACATATACAATTTGCAGTTTAATACTTGCATTCCTGCATTGTTGCACCCAGCATTTCACAGGTACTTGGTTGACTTAGACTCCATATTGCATATGCAGAGGTGTTAGGAGGTGAACTTGCAGTGGAGTAAAGCCTCCAGATACCTAACACATCAAGCTGGTGACTTTCAAACATCTGGAAAATAAGACTTTCATGGCGGTATTTGTTTACAGCCCCCCTCCCTAACTTTTAGCCCTTTAACCCCAAGAGGAATTAACATCTTATCTCTCCTTACAGCATCACCACTGAATCAAACAAGAAGGGCATGAGAATAAAGGAAATGATCACCTACAAGTGAAGCTCTTGACTATTTCAAAAATTATCCTTGTTAGTATTTAAGGATGTGTACCAAGAATAGCATGGAGAATATATATTTTGATCTTAGGGCATGGAGGGTTACAAAAGCTGCCTGTATGTTCATCAACTGTCTCCTTAACCCTTTAGCTCCCAGATTAAATTTCTAATTCTCCTTACAGTCAACCATACAATTCTTATAATGTTAGTTCAGAGAATTTAGTTTTGGATCAACCAGTTATCCCCAAATTGATATTTTTCTTCATTCTCATCACTTATCTGGTTGATATTGTATTGATATTGTAAGGAGAAATTCTGTCTTGGTCACTCATGGGAATAATATTCCTGTGATTTGACTTTAATTTTTTCTCTGTATGACCTTCACACACCTGCATTACCTTTCATTTCTGAATGTTGGTGTTAAACCAAGACATTGCCACCAAGGGAAAAAAAATTCTTAGTCAAATCTTTCGAAATAATTTTAACCTCCAATCAGCTTTTCAATAAAATGTTACTGTCCAAGTTCCAAGCCAGAGCTGACTCCTGATAAACTTCATCTGTCATCCAACAGGTTTTTATTCATTACTTCAGTCACAAACACAACATGTCATACAAATTAGACTGAGCCCTTAGTAATCAATAGTTACTGTAGTCATTTGTATGGTCTATAAGTTACCATACATTATTTAAACGTAGATCCACTAAAATGCACCTCATTCATCTATTCTCTGGAAAGATCTTCCCACTTTCTTTGGTCCAGGACTGATCATCTTTTTCCTTGCCTCTTGTCTTCCACTCTCTTTGTGGTCAAATGCACAGTTATGCTGTTCTGGTAATCGATGTAATTGACAAAAAGTATAACCTGAAGGTAAAAAACAGAAATTTTTTACTAAGTGCTTTATTTTCAATAACAAGTACTCAGATTTATATCTGTCTCATGGTCATAACAAATTTAAAGTTTAACATCTTTATTTACTTTTTGACCAACTTCCAAGGACATGTCTATCAACCCTAGAACCCCTATGAGTGACAATCGTCTAAATTCTCCATACAGTATCATCCTTAAATCAATTGCAAAGGGCACGAGAATCAAGGAAATAATCACCAATTTAAGAATCTCCCAATTGTAAAAACCAAATTCTCCATGTTGGTACCATGGAGAATTAAAGAGAAAAGTGTGGAGAATATAAGCATTAATGTTCGGGTGTAAAGGGTAAATTGCTTCCCACTTCTTAACCACTGAGCATGAAAGATGCGTAAGAGTTGCTCGAGGCATAGCCAAGAGAAACTCTAGCTTCTTGAGTGCTCACCAAACTTCCCAAGTGCTTCATATCTTGATGAACGCATAGCTGACATATGAACCAATTGTTTTATAACATTTTCAACAAAATCCCAAAGTAAAAAATTGTGGCACAAATTTTTTTCTTGAGGGATTTATTTGCTGATGTCATGAGCATGCACAATAGGAATATGAAGCATGCTCATGCAATTGAATTTGATTTGACAAATTTACTAGCTATGTTGTAAATCAAGTTATAGGATAGTAGAGGAATGCTTCATAACTAATTTGCTCATTTATAGCCATAAAAAATATGCAAATAATGCTTTGGTTTTTATGAGGTTTGGTTGAATTTCCTTCCATCCTACTCATCACTTTGATCCTAGCAGTGCACAAGATGCTTGTTGCATACAAAGCTGCATAATGGCTCAGAGCCAGAGGGCCTTGTCAAAATGTTATCAGCAATTAATTTTATAGAGGAAATAATGAAAACTCACCATTATCTAAGGCTTTGATACTCCAAAGAAATTCTGAATTTTTTTTAAATGGTAGATGAAAATTCATGTGATCAGCAACAAATGGTGCACAGCTGAACTGGACTTACTAAGTAAAATTAGCCTTGATTTGTACCTTGGCATCCTAGTGCCAATTAATATGTTGATAACAATTTACAAGAAACTAGCCTATGTGTAGCTGTACCCTCTCCCCCCCCCCAGGTGAAACAGAAGGGAGGAAATGTCTATGAAAACCTGACACCAATCATGTTCTGTGACTTCACTTGTATCTATGCAAAATTATGTACTTTGATAATATTTCCTGCAAAGTGGCATGTGTTAGTGTGAAAGGTTATCAAGATGAACTACAACATTAAAGTGAACTTATTTTCCATTTTTCAGGTAAATTTGCAATTCAGTATCTAAGTTAAAATATATACTTTGCTTTAAGGATCTAGGATGAGATTGTGAGCAATTTTTGGTATAGAGTAAGAATAGGATGATGTTCAATCAGCATCACCCTTACGAATCTAAGATTTTCAACGTCCATGCGGTTTCCACATGCATTTATAAACAGTGCCACAGTCTTTGAAAAAAGTTGGATCCTTTGCTACAGAATCTCAAGGTTTTTACAGATTTCTTTGAGAGATAGTTACACTGCAAGCATGAAGTAAAAGTGAATCTTTTCTCAGTCAAGAGAATCACTTCAAGAAACAACTAGCCCTATTTAATAGGTGGACAATCCTCTGGCCCAAGTCCATTAAGATAGTACACCTGGTCTTCTATGAGAGCTTTAACAGGTGGCAAAATAAATATAGTGACCGGTTTCTTCTAGAGAAGAGAAGAGAGGCAATGGATCACTGGTGCTGTTTGATATATTTGAGATTTTCCATAGCCAGTTGATAACAAAATGGAGACATTGTTACCTTCAAAAAACATATCTATGGCTTTCTGCAGTTCTTCTTGAAATGTCTCTATCCCAAAAGTTGCACAAATTTACCTCAAAACCATGTCATAGATCACTGTTGTCTGAAAAGGTGACCATGAAAGCATTCTGTTCACAATCTTGTTGATTAGTGTGAAAATAAATTACCAACTCTTGCCAATTTGGGAAAGAATCGGCAAAAGGGGTTAACCAATTAAACCCATTACATATTTTCTTACAAAAGAGTGATGTTGCAGAACATGATTGGTGGAAGGGGTTTCATAGATATTCCCTTGCTTCCATTCCACCTGGGGGGGGGTGGGTGCAGCTACATGTAGGCTAACAAGAAACTCGTGGAATGTGAAGGAAAAGTAAAACACAGACTGTAGTGTCTGTACTGCTCCCTTCGCTTTCCAAGTCACTAACACTGAATAGAATTCTAGAAGACCATTAGACTTAAATTCTGCTTTCACAGGATCCATCCCACACAACTAGTATCTATCACTGCGATGTTGTTTTCAAAAGCCCTCTGTACATAATAGGCGATGAGAAAGAGTTGTCTCAAACTCTAGCTACCAGCGACACGAGTAAATTTATTCACTTCTTTCTCTAGTTATTAAAAATATGCAGGGTCAGGCACCACAGAGTTGGGTTTATTGAATATGTCAGAGAGCTTACAAAAACAAATCATCAGAAAATAACGAAGTAAGGAACCTTTCAATACTTACTACACCTACAGTTCCCCAACTCTCTCTGAGCGAGTTCAAGCTTTGCGTTGCAAGTCCAACACCGTTTTCTCTTCTTTTGAAGCGGAACGTCTATCGCCTTGTTCACTGATTCTTTCTCTCTCCTTGTGTCTTGAGGATCATCTCTCTCTACTTTTAATTTAGATTTTGTATTACTGCCACAATTTATATAGTTATTGCCGAGTTCAATTTCACGGTTGCCTTCTTCTGCAGTACTGGTCGAAGGCTTCTTTTCAACGTCATGTTTGGATTGCTCGAGATTTGACGATTGAGCATTAGACTCATTTACTAAACGCGCCGAATCTTTTTCTTCCGTTCTTCCTTTCCTCTGCAATTCTAAGAGAAGACGAAAAGGACAAATCATCAGACCTACTCATATCCCTCAAAACACTGCTTGACTATCACAGAGTTTGGACGTACAACTAGATCGCGAAATGAAGACAGTGTTGTTGTCAGTTTAATTAAAATATAACAAGTTAGAAGTTTTCTTACCATCCTTGTAACACTTGGAACATAAATTCAAAGTCTGCGGAGATCTATACATGAAAAAGAAAACAAAAACCGAAAGTTCAAATAAGACTGTACCCTAACTCAGAACGGTTTGTACGATCAACTGGAAAGTCGTGATTTTGTGAGAGGATCAAAGCTCTCAGTGAACATCACAACGCTGAACTTACCCCCAAAATCCGCACGGACATCGCGGTGGCGTACTTCCAGCGTTTTCCATAACAAATGCAAGTATCAACAAACAAATCGCAAGCGAATTTGCAGGGAATCAAGCCCCTCTCATCTCGTAAATTAAAAAGATTTCTACCGACTAGGTACCAAAACTCCACTTACCTAGATGTTTACCCTCCAAATATGGAAATATCTAGGTCTCGATCCAGTCTCTCACATTCCTTACAAATGCAAAATCGCTCTCACACAACTTCGTTACCAGTTCCTTTTTTATTACAAAAAGGAATTATTATCCTTTTTTCAAACTGCTCAAACATTTAAGAAGATTTCGTCGAAAATTAATTGGTCAAGATTCATTATCTCATTATCGGTATAGAATTTACACAAAGAACTATCTTAGGAGGCATCCAAAGATGTCAACAACACCGCACGAATGCGCTCGTTTTATTTTCTGGCATGGGATCGTCGCAAGGACAGAACTCATCTAAGTTTAATTAATGTATTGTCATATTAATTTTGTCTCTTGTACCATAAATTTCACATTTCTGAGCTCAAGCTGGATAAAAGGTCAGAGAAAGCTGTCATTCGATCCATGAAATGATAAAGATGTGATACACTAGTCGTCTTAATTATAAGGTGCTATCAAATGACGGGAGGAATCAAAATGTCCAAGTTTGTCTCCTTTTTTGGAATATTCCCGTTACTTGCTCAAGAATTGACGTCACCTTTCAGAACAGGAAGGGCACGGGGAAAGTGGGCTTTGAGTTTTACTCAAAACAGGAAGGTATTGACTCTGTAGATCGCACACTTTTATTATCTCATCCTTATCAGGCGACATTTTTTGTTGTTTATCTGTTTTTATGTGGCTGTGTGTAGATCGAGGCCTACAGTCCAATGTTTTTGGCGTAGACTGTTGTCCAGTGCATAAGGCGCGTCTCCCTTACTTCACGCGTGGAATGCACGCATGGAGTACATGCATGTATCAGTTCTAGTTAATTGCGAGATGATTTACATGTTGTCAAGTAACCTCTTTGGCGTGTGGTTCTTAAAGTTTTACAACAGTCTGTAATGATGACAGTGTCCACTCCAGTAATTATTTCCTGAAGAGCATGTAGTGATTCAAAGAGCTATCAATCGTATATTTTCTCCGGGTTTCTCGTCCGCGTCCGGATCTTCCTGATCAAATGAAACCTCCTCCCTGAAAAAGATCGAGCATTGTTGTCATTGGAACTCCATGCTAGTGGAGATATTTTATCCATTTATACAACTGATTTTTTTATCCTCTAATAAAATTATTCCCACATGCTTCTTGCTTAGTAACACAGTAGCCATAATTTCCTTTTTGACTGAAGGAAATGCTGATAGCAATAACGGTTTGAATCTCGTCGAAGATGATCTTTTGAACAATAGGAAAAAAAACCTTCTTTAATTTTCTTCTCTTCTAAACAATGAACCATGCGTTTCCCTGCAACTGAATGTGATTACTGCCTTTGGCTTACGGGCTTCAGAACATTAGATCCTTTCCTAATTCCCACTCCCCCCTCGAACCAACTTCTGCCTACCCCCTTCCTAGTGTCGCCTTGCTTTCTCGAATATCCTGTCCGTGAACTGCCCACTGCCGTTCAGCGTCTCACTTTGCAGCCCAACATCAGCTTGCAAAACTTTCTTTCCCCTCCTACATCCACTTGCCACCCCTCTGTGCCCCTTTATTTCTTTTCCTAGCGTTTCTCGTACAACAAACTTCCTTCACTGCTACGGTACTCACCGTTTTACCTTCCGATAGTACAAGATGATCATAATGATGGCAATAAGACTCACAATTCCAAGAGCAACACCAAGCGCTATCAACGCGGAGCTGTGAGACGTGGAAAACTCACGCCCATTCGACTCGCGGCCAACAGCAGGAGCAGTTAATGGTTGGACCGAAGAAATTGGAGCTGAGTGAACATCTGTTTTATCGATATAAGCAACTTCATGACCCAGGCGCCGATGAATTCCCGGCGCTACTTTCACCAGCAAACGGTGCAATCCTTCACGCGAAATCACGGTATTGTTATTATCCCCAGGCATCTTCACGGCCAGCCTTACATTCAAGAGACTTGTACCCTGCACCTGTTTAGGGTAGCCCTGGAGAATTATGACATCATCGGGTCGGAAACTGGGAGAATTTATCAGGCGTTTCGTTCTTAATTTCCTGAAAAATTGGAGAACATTGTTCAAACGAAATGGCTCAGCGACTAAAGGCCATTCAAAGCAAGTCAGGAAGAAAGTAAAGATCTGTTTGTCTGTTTTTAAAGATGAGAAAGTAACAGACGTAAAATTTTTAAAAGTCATTCAGGCAACCAAGAAAGGTTAGCCATGGAATTTCATTAAATTTAATATTTATCGCCAAATCTTTCGCTACCAAATGGTTTAAAAAATTTCTCAATATTCTCATTTTCGTTTTTATCAGCACGTTCAACTCGTGTTGTGCGAGACGGCCATGAAAGCCAGCGTAGAGGAAAGTTATAACTTTGAAATAAGCAAACTATTCATTAAGGTATTTTAACCGCAGTTTCCTATACATACAGTTTTTCTGCCTTTCCCTCCCCTCCCCCTTTGAAATAATTGGTTACATAGTTTAACTTAGGGTAGCACCATTTTCGCATTGGTACATACTCTTTGACTTGACGGAAATACCTTTGGAGGATGAGATTGAAACAAAGAAAACCATTTTATTTCGTTACATGGATTTATTATCGCTTTTGTTTTTGATTACGTATTATTATACTTACTTTCCCTTAGCCAGACACGAGTTCAACTTGCAATGGCTTGTTAAAAGATCAGCTAGAGTCTTTTTAAAGTCGAAAGGTTTCCACTTAGAAAAATAGGAAAAAGAAAGAGAAATATACAGCAAATTTCATTTGTTTTCAAAGGACATAACGTTCAGGAGCCCGTTACCCGGAGCTTCCATCTTCCATAATTATCCTCTGAGTCCGTATCTTATTATTTTAAGAAGCACTTCCCACAGGGTTTTTCGCGGGTGTTTACATAATAGCCAACCATAAGAGAGCTGTGGTCCTCTATTGTTTACGTCACATACAGACCGCACGAAAGTATTTCAATTATGCGAACGTTAGCGTGTTTTCGCGAGAAATTAAAGAACCCCCCACATATTTCAGTTCTAAAAATAAAAAGATACGGGACAAGGTTGACTCAAGGGTACAATTTGTATGGAGGCTCCTTGCAATGGGCTCCTTACATAACAACTTAAAATGGATTAATAAATGTATTTAGACATGTCACTCACTTGATTTAAAGTCATTTTCAAGATCATCGAGACTGCATTACTTCCTGAAATATATACAAATCAAGAAATTCAAAATGAAAATGTTACAAGGTCGTGCGTCAGTACATCAGATATAATATTCTCTTATATTTACTAATGAATCGTTATTTTATACTAATCAAAGTTTTGTCTTGAAGAACGATTCAATTTAATAAATATTAGCTAGTGGCGTTTTATTAAGCGGTTATAATGATTATTCACTGAGAAGCGTACCAGTGATCAAACCATTTGCGTTCACACTTGTGCTAAGATTCTTGAAATTTGACAGCCTGAGCTGCGGGAGGTCTGTGAGGTTTCTAGTCCAGGTAACAATTGGCAAGTTTCATTACGGATCTGACGACAATATAATTTCTCCATAAACTTACCAACGTTAACTTCGCAGTAGTCCCCAGAAAACGTTTCCAAACAGCGACATTCCCATGACCTCTCCGCCAGCTCACATGAGCCGCCATTTTGGCACCTATTTCTAGGGCAACTAATGGGAGGGCCTGTGGTGGATGGTGCTAAGGTAGACAAAGGACCTTGAGAGGTATAAGTTTGGCTAGGTACATGGTTCGCAGTGTTCGGTGGCACCTGTTTTGAAGTTACACTGGTGGTCTTTAAGCCTGCAATCGATGCAGCTGGTGTGGGAAAGAACTTGGAAGTGTTGTTCGCCGTGCCCGGCGCGCAGCGCACAAAGACTTCCAAAGGTTCGTCGTCATTATACAGGGCCTTTCCTAACCGAGTGTGCTTACACTGCCCTAACGTGGCTTCACTTCCGTCACATTCAAAATTACTGAACCAAAACACTTGCTTGGATAGGTCGTTTTGTTTATATGAAGTGGCTTGAGCTTTTGGGAAACCAAGCTGACGGCAAAAAACCATGGCGTCTGTAAGGTCCCATTTGGAGGTCCTTACAGTGCCCCAGAGGCCACCATAGAAAACCTCCACTCGGCCCTCGTTTGAATGGCTTCCTCCATGGAGCCTGACAGCGAATTCTGGAGGAAATAGAAGTTTAAGAATGTTCTAATAAATCTGAATTTCCTAATAAAACAAATGAATAAGAGTAAACCAGAAAGGACAACCCTGGATTGTGTATATTCATCAGTGAAGGGCCGCCCCGGCGAAAAAAATTTGATTTCTTTGAAGAGCATACCGTAAATGCAATTTAAAACCAACCGGTTCAGTTTAGTTAATTTGAGGGGGGGGGGATCATGGTTAACGTGCTGAATGCACCACCTAACCGTCTGAGTCTGAATCAAGGCTGATCATCGTGTTTTGTTCTTGAACGAGACGGTTTACCCTTAGAGTGCCTCTCGACTCATGAGTGTTAACAGGGGTTTCACTATCTTTTTCTCTTAGTGGTTACGCTCAGAAAGGGGACCGTAAGGCGAAACCCAAACACAAGAGCGTGCTAAACTGGTCTAAAATCGTGGCTTTCGATGCCTCGTTCTCATGCAACTCGATCCAGACCATGTGAGGCAGCTGCCGTTTTGGAATTAGGTCTAAAAGCCTTATCGGTTGTGAGAGATTCTGTGGGCGGCGGTAGACCGCCAGTAATCGGCTTTTATCGAAACCCGTGATATAAATGAGTTACAGAAAACTGTCAAACTGCGATGGACTGGCATCTTGAGATAATACTCCTTGTCGCTTAGCTTCAAAGAAAAGGAAACTAATTAAAAAAGCTCCCGCGGTATTGTTCAATCAACTCGCACGACCCCACCAATTAACCTTTCTTTGACGTTACAACACATCCTGACAAATTGAAACCGCTTACCATTGACAGAAACATTTTCCATTTTGCAAATAAGCTCCACGTTATCTTCTAAGCAGTATCTGTCCTCAGTGAGGTCACACTCAGACAAATTTTTTTCATGACCTTTGCATCCAGAGCTGCGAAACCAAACCGGGCCCGGGCCCACGTCATATATTCTAGGCCGGTTATACTCGTCTATGTTGTTCAAAGTTAAGTCCAGTTCAACGCCATCAAAACCGAGCTGACGGCAAATCACCTCAGCAATCTCATGTTGCCATTCGTCGGAACAAAACGTGCCCCACACCCCTTGGTAGCGTACTTTGACGCGGCCGGCGTAAGGAACTTGGGAACCAGTAAGCTCCAAAGCAATTTCTGTAAAACAAACAAATGAACAAGAATAAAAGGACATGCTTCCAATCATAACTCCCGTCAACAAGAAGATGCATTCGCAAAGGAGCTTTTTGTGAGTCACGGTTGGTTTACGGCCAAAATCTCTCAAGCTCATCGCGTGAAAACTATGAATATCGTAAAATGTTGTTGCTGTCTTTGTTGTTGATGTCGAGTCAGCAAAAAGCGGAGGCGCTGTCAGCTACAACCCCTGATATCCCTGACACCCAGAAAGTGCCTTGCTTTGGTGAGCTGACGGCAAATCACCTCGTTGATCAATGCGAGTCTTACTTCTGTGGAGCACAAAGCAAATTTGCATTGAAATATTTCTCAAAAAACCAGACGAAAATAAAAAAGTAGAAAAGTGTCTCACCAGAGTTCTGATACCGTGAATTATAGCACACCAAGCAAGTGTCAGAGGTGTGGCTACAATGCCGCTCCGTCTTTCCCCAACCAAGACTTGGACACTGGTCTACAGAACTTTCATTTCCTCGGCACTTGACGTTTGACAGCCAGATAGGCCCAGTAGCATGCTCACGTGATGCACAGTTGGAAAAAACCGGAGCTAACCAGCTACTGGCTGATCTGTGCAGAAGAAACAAGAGATTTTTTTGTCACTCAAGAGTATAACAGTGATCCCAACTGATTTCCAATGAGGAAGGTAAGTTGCAACGTTTTGAAAGAGATAACAGCAGTGATAAAAAAAATTATAACATTTAAATCGCGCCAAAGAGGCGGATTCGTTCGAAGTGACAACCAACCGGTATCAGGGAAAAACAGTTTCAATCCCAGTCAAGTTATTAATTTCTCAATCTTCTTTTACTTCAAATTTCTGTTAACTTGTGAAAATCATTTATTCGCATGATTCTTGACAAACAATCTTCCCTCTTCCAATAAAAAAAACTTCATAAGGGTGACACAATTAGCAGTGAGTCATTAGTTTTTATTGTGGCTCACTGAACAAAAACACTCAAGTATCTTGCAAAAAATAATAAAATTGTATTATTAAAGTAAAATTATTTATATCCCCATTTAGCTAGATTACGAGCAGTCCCTAGTTCTCGCGAGAACGGACTCGCGTGTCAGAAAACAAGCGCACCATATGGAAGTCTGGGAGTGAAGGGCACTTTTCAAACGCCTCAATCTCACTGTTCCGCACGGCGCGCTTACGACTCGCTAAAAAAAACCCCTTTTTTTTTCGACGGATTTTTTTACGACAGACTTCGCCGAAAAGGAGAGACTGCTTGTTGTCTACCAACTAGCAGGAAGCAAACCAGTTGGCTATTTACAAGTGAAGTCGTGGAATAGAACTAAGGACTACCCGGCAATAAATCGATCTGGTGGTCAAGGCGGAGTGGGTCCCAAGATGCCGGATTACGAGCCACCACGTTCTCCACAAAACCACTGAGCCCTGATCTTTTTTTGGTTCATTTTTTACATCCATTTCTATATGCACACTGACCTGAGAGGTGGCCCAAATCCAAGCTGTCTACAGACAACTAATGCGTTTGGTGTGGATACATCCCACTGATACACATTGGAGCACACTGTACCCCAGGTGCCATTGTATAAAACTTCAACCAGCCCAGCATGCGGCACAGAAGATCCAGCCAAGCGGACCGGATAAGCTAATCAATCAAAGTATATCATTATTTCACGGATTTCAGTGCTGTGGGCTGATGTAAAAGTTTTGGCTGATTTCATTACATCGGGCTTATATCGTAGATAAAATTAAACGTGCGTATTAAAGCTAAATATTTCTACGACGGGAATTATCAGGAGCGATTCCAATTCTCCTTCTGATGGTCAATGTCTGTCTTACTATGGCGCCTGTCTCACTGAGGTGTCTATTACACTCAGATGTCTTTCCTATTGAGGCGTCTAACTTACTGTGGTGTCCGTCTTACTCAGGAGTCTGTCCAATGAACTGTCCATCTTATTGAGGTGTCTGTCTTACTGAGGTGTTTCTCTCAAAGAGTAGTCTGACTCAAAAAGGTGTCTTTCTTACAGTAGTGTCGGCGTCTTGCGGGGTGTCCATTCATCAGTTGAGAACTGAATGGAGCTATACATAGTTTAAGATTGTCTTTGCTGTTTTTGACATATTTTCCTTTAAATTTGTGTCTTAACTAGTTGGCAAGGACTAATTCCCGTGCGAATTAGTTCCCCTTGATCACTTACCTCTACCTACTAATCAACTTACGTGCTCTATAATTTTTAGGACGACACATGAGTTCCAGTGCCTCTGTGTGTGAGCACCAAAGAATTTCCCCGGGACTGACAATCACGCATTCTGACAGATTGCTTTCGTTGCCATGGCATTGTACTTTGCTAAGCCAGACCGGTCCTTTTCCTTTCCCATAAAGTGGTGTCCGCCTTCGTCTCCCGTAAAATGTAATGTCACCCATTACGTCTTCAAATCCCAATTGGCGGCAAATTACTTTAAATACAGTGCCACTCATAAAGCGTGGACATATCACGCCCCAAACTCCAGCGTACTGGACCTCGACACGGCCCGCGTGGGGAAGATTGGAACCGGCCATGCGCAGTGATATGTCTAGAGATTGTGCGATGATACTATTAGTGCATTCAATTTATCTTACTGATCAAAATGTGGAGCAATAAAAGGATTCTGAATATCGCTTTTGAGAGTGAAAAATTACTTTTCATGTGTATACGTGTAATATCTTTTGCATTCATTTGTTAATTGCCCCTTGTTGCTTCGTTCCAAAACAGGATTTTTTTCTTAATTGAGGGTGCGATCGATCACGGATGGTGCGAACGGTGTGGGCTGACACATCCAGTGAAGTGATCGGCGATCACTTACCCAAATACGCTTGGGCAGAGGGGAATGAAAAAACAACAACAACGCCAATAAAATTAACGACCGTTCCACTTTACCTGTAGTATTAGTGGTCACCGGCTGACATATCAAACAGGCACTGCAATGCTTAGGTGTGCAACCTAGACAGTACTCAGGGTCAAGTTTACCCCATCCTCTGTGAGGACATTGATCAACAGAATCTTCAAATCCTTGACAATTCAAGCTAGACAGCCAAACAGTCTCGGCGCCTTCTCTCACTGCGGTGCATTCATCATTCATAAATGTTTGTTTTAGCGCAGGTCCTAAACCCAACTGACGACATATCACCTCCGCCGACGGGTAAGGTAGATCACGCATGGTGCAGATGGTGCCCCAGGTACCATTAAACTTAACTTGCACGTGACCATAGTTAGGCGTGTCTGCTCCAGACAAACGAACCTCAACATCTGTTAAAACACAAGTTAAATGTCAAATCCTTCAGTTGAAATTGCCCAAGGCAAGAGAAAATCAAAGGGAGAGTCAGATTGAGATCAAGATTCCCTCATGTACGCCTTGATCTGGTAAAATTCCTCACGAGCCATTTATTGATTTGAATAGCGGTGCATTAACATTCCAAGATGCCCAAGTGCTTTCGAGGGGAATGGAAAATTCGGAGTTAAGAGATTGGCCATTTCTGGATTCTCTCTTGATTCCTTAAACCGTTTGCAATTTAAAAATTACTGTAGCTATTTGCTCTGACAAAAGCCTTATGACCAATTTAGACGGTGACCAATTTACATCACAAGTTGTCTTGTTCTACCCTTCCCCCCGCCGACTTAGCACCACAGTTCCTTTAGAAATTTTTTACCCCATTTACTTCTTTAGAAAAAAGGCATGCGTTGCGGAATCCAGATTGCGAGTATAACCTTTAATCTAATATCACCCTGGTTCAGTGCCTCTGAGAAAAGATAACCTCACTTTAAAGGCTTTACCTCATTCAAAGTCAGATCACAATCTGCCCTTTTTGTGCCGATCCTTGCAGTCGCGAAACTCTATTATTTATCGGGAAGAACTGTTTTGGGTGGAGGTGAAGGAATGGGTGGGAGAAAGTAAGCTTGTCCACAGTTAACTACTCACCACTTTTATAATTAGTATCATTCGTGCATTGTACCCCCGCATTATCGCCTGGCGAGTAAAGCCTGAAATTCAACTCGCGATGGCAACCCAAGAGGCTATCCTCTTCTCCAGTACAGTCCAGGTTGCTGAGCAAAATCTTCTTATCCACAGAGCCATACCTGTGGGAAAACAGATAATTAAAAACATATGTTACATTGCACATGCGACCTTGTTTGCCATGAAACTTAATCATATATCACCTTGAATGCGAGTACACGCGCACGGCCTGACGGTATCCTAGCTGACGACATACCACGTGACCTTCACGAAGATCCCACTCCAAGTCTGATACTGTGCCCCAGATTCCTCCCAATTTAATCTCCACTCGACCCTCGTTTACTTCACTTGATCCGCAAAGTCTTATTTCACCGTCTGAAAGGAAAGATCAAATATTTTACTTCAGTAGGTGATTATCTCTTCTACTTGAACCTCGGCCAAAATAGTATACTTTTATTCATAATGTGACTCTTAAGCCTGGTTTTCACAAGCGCAAGCAAAAACGCAAGCATAATATCTCCTATTTTATGGTAAAAACAGCTTTTACGCAAGCACAAACTCAAGCACGAGACAAAGGAAAAATTCTTATCGTTGTGTTTGTGCTATCGTCGAGCCCGTTTCCACGGTAAAGTAAGTGCTGTTACCTTTGCGTTTGTGCTTGTGCTTGTGCTTGTGCTTGTGCTTGTGCTTGTGCTTGCTTGTGCTTGCATTGCTAGTTGTTACTGCGTTATGCGCCTTGAATATTTTTCACTTGTCACGTAATTTTCTTTTTTTGGTTTTGTTTTCGTGTTAAACACTAATTTCTTATGGTCACTTTATATACCTCCGGTAACGTTTTCCGTTTTACATATCACCCCTGCGCCATATCTCTCTCCGCAATCTTTTTTAATCTCCCATCCAGCGCTCACACATTGGTCCAGTGAGGTCTCGTTTCCATGGCAATGCACACTCGTCAACCACATAGGTCCAGGTTTGGAACCAAACTGACCATGGGCAAGTTCCACCACAGCCTCTGGGAATCCCAACTGACGACAAACAACATCAGCGTCATGTTTATCCCAGGCAATACTGCAAACAGAGTGCCAGATTTCATGCCGCTGGATTTCCACCCCTCCCATGTAAGTAGAATTACCACCTTGTAATCTGACTGCAGCTGTTTCTGTTGAATAAAAGGGAAGGAAGCTAAGAAAGAGAGAGAGGGGGGGAGGGGGGATAAAATACTCCGATATTCTCTCTATTTTAGACGCTGTGTGATTCATATAAAAGCGCCTGTGAAATGGAAAATGTTGAGCTCACTCCTGCACCACGCCACGTCAAATATTTCCAGTAAAGTGTCCTTCTTTTTGACTTAAAGTTGACTCGTTGCGCTGGGGCGAGCTCGTATAAGGTGGGGCGAACTTGCATTGGGGCGAATCATCTAATAACCAAGAGGCCCATGTTTATTTCGTTTCCTGTATTTGAGCCAACATACCGTTAGATCCTGATTCTTTTTCGGACTCACAGATGACACCTCCATCGTGACTATGATCACAGCCATACACTTCGTCCATATCCCGGATGTACGTTAAATCGCATTTAAAGATGGATGATTCATTTCCGTGACACTGTGCCTCCTCTATCCAGATTGGACCTGACTGTCTTTCAAACACGCCTCCAAGGGTTGTAAAGAGAGCTCTTCGATAACCCAATTCACGGCAAATAACATGACCTTGTTCTAGTCCCCAGTCCCAATCACAGAAAGATCCCCAGCGACCATTGTGACGAATTTGCGCAAAACCCGCATGTGCGAGATGAGAACCAACCAGGCGAACTGACAATGTAAAAGGGAAAAGAAATTAAAGTAATTCCAGGACCTTTGGTTGAGGAGTACAACTAAGGGCTTTATATGAAAACTATAAATAATAGCAGGAAGAAACGGACGAACAGCAAGCTTCAGAGGAGAGTAAATAGAAGTGAATCGAACCGAAGAATGGAACCGATCTTTGCAGTAATGAACACTACCTAAACAGTAGTGCAAATAAGGCCTAAAAAAAATTAGGCCTATGCGTGATTTGAACCCATGACCTCTGCGATACCGGTGTAGCACTCTACCGACTATATTGGCTCCAAATAAACCCGTGATGTGATGAATAAATGACCTTAAATATTGGCCTCATCAGCTGTGCACCCCTGAGCAGACTTTGGTTTTCTGGGACTTGAGTATTATGTGTCCCATTATTCTCTCTTTTCTTACAGTATACTTTAGACCCGGGTGAGTCGCAAGAGCTATGAAACATTAGGCTTACACGACTTGACTTTAATTAACTTTATCGCTCCCTAGAGCGACCAAAAAATGTCTAACAGCACGAGAGCGTGAACCTTCATCCTCTCTTGATTGCCAGCATCGAAGGAAAATCTTGAGGAAGGGTTAATAGATTAACACTTTCTAGATCCCTCTCTTGTCTTATTTTGTTTCATTGTTAATTAAATGACTATTACTCACCATTTGGTTTATTCAGTTTACATACAACTCCAGCACTGGAACGTCTAGAGCACCTTGCATCGTCCTTCCCCACGTGACTGCAATGAAATATCGATGCTTCTGTTCCTGAACAGTCCACACGAGCCATAAGAGGAGGTCCTGTACCCTTCCCGAAGTACATGCCACAGCAGGTGGAATGTTCCGCACCAGGATACCCAAGCTGACGACAGACGACTGAGGCATCATCAAAATCCCAAGAGTAATCGCACACTCTTCCCCACTGACCATGCATGAACACCTCCACTAGTCCTGAGCCCTCCGAGTTGGTTAGATTTGACAGGCGGACTCTAGGGAGATCTGACAAGAAAAAAAAACAGATTCCCTCTTTGGATCACGGTATTGCACCTTCTACAATAAACTTAACAACTTAATTACAGTAGAAACATCACATGGTATTGAAAGGACAATTTTCAATTGAGCTTAAGATTGATTTGAGTTTCCATCTATTTTTATATACTTCTGTGTGTGAATGGTCTAGAAATCTCCTAAGCCACCCAATCAATTATTCGTAGACACAAACTTGAAACCGATCGCGAGAAGGACATTTGAGATCTCCTTTAAATAACGGGAACAGCCCGCTTGTTATTTTTGTTCCTTTCTAGTTCTCATAGGCCTCTCTATATTGTCACTGTTCTGATTAACCCTTGTCAATACCTTGAAATGGTCTCACTACATTCAATTAAAATGCCGTATTTCCTATGAAAGTTAATTCTGCGATCAAAAATCACACTACCTCTGGGATCCGCATTCTTAGCGGGCTCGCATATCACTCCTGCTTCCCTTCTCCATCCAGTTTTACAGTTTGACTGTGGTGTCGAGGTTTTGTGGTAACACTGACCCAGTCTTGTCTCGTTTCCATTACAACGAACCTTTTCAAAATTTATCGTCCCCGCTTGACCAAAGAAAGATCCTCTTGTTACCAAGGTAACGTTGGGATAACCTAACTCTCGGCATACAACAAAAGCATCGCTCTCGTCCCAGGCGTCGTCGCAAACTGTGCTCCAGACCCCTTGATGGAAAACGACCACCTGACCAGCGTAAGGAGCGAACCCACGCGACAGTCGAACTAATTGAAAGAAAAAAAGAAAACAGTTTTCGAACTGTTAGGTTCCTTCACCAAAATTGCAAACTGCAGAAAGACGTATATTTTCACACGTACTCTTTTAGCAACGATAAAATCATGTTTACCGCCGCACATTTTCTGACACATACTTTCTTAAGACCGCATGTGGTGCCTACCGAGTCATTTTGGCGTTAAATGGACGCTCCAAGCCTCAACGTGTCATAGATCTCCTTAAATGGTTAGTAAATATGCATCACGGACACTTGACAGAGATAATTCCAGAACATTACTCATGGAAATTTCGAGAAAATCAGATTGCAATTGAAACATTTGTAATGGTTCTTGCCTTTTACAAAGAAGAAAACGATTCTTCTATTACCCGTTACCTAATGTATATTGTTCCCCAATCCTGATATTTGAAAAAGGTCACCAACTATATTATTGCCTCCCAGCGACGGATTTTTTCTTTTAATTTTCTTTCAGTTCATACAAAACCTATATGTCAACTATCTCTCTCGACAAAATTTTCATGGTAAGCGTGCATGGGCTGCTAACGTGCAGAAAAATTGAGGCTCATTTATAGTGGGAGATGTCTACGATGTTGTCTGCCTATTAAATTAAAGTAATCTGCAGTTTAACCTTTAGTACAAGCACATTAATGATTTTTTACGCGCTCCCTTTCGAATCCTTCATGTTGCTTGAGAGCAGAAGTTTTACACCACATTGTTCCGTCCGATTGTTTTCGTAAGACGGAATATTAAAAAATACCACGTTACAATTATAGTAGAACAAAAGTGATTGAGTTTTCAAGATAATTAAATTAATATCCCCAAACAACATAATTCCCCTTGCAAACCTTGCCAAAAAGGTGGACGAGTATTGAACCTTTGTTACAGCTCAGAAAAATAAAATAAAGTTCACCTATAAGAGACTATCATACAAACTAAAAAAGTAATGTCTATATTTTATCAAAACGTCACCCATTAGTTTTTATCGTTTTCCAGTTTGTCAATGAACTGTCTCACTTCAGTGGGTTCACGCTTAGAATATTTTATTCTTAGCATCCAAACATTTTGAGAGAGCTGTTAAGCCAGTTTTAGCGTTTATCAAACGCAGCATGAAATTTCTAACTGAGTATTGAAGCATTTTAGGCATAATTGTGAAATCGACATCGCTCCTTCAGTGACCTTTCGCTTTCTGGAATATCAAAATGTAAAACGACTGATACTGACACTGGTTTGCAAAGATAAATTATTCCGAATGAAAAATTCATTAGATTTTCGTGCTTTAGAGAGCGATTTATCTCGACTTAGAACATCAGATTTGTTAGTAGTTGAGGTGGTGTCAAATTTCTCTGTTTTTAAATTGGAGTGAGCTAATACGTTGCATTCTAAAATTATTCCTCGCACTCTGCGCTCAACATGCAGAAATCTAACCTTCAAACTCTTTGCCTGCTTTCCACTCATTAACAGGAACTGATCTCTTCTGCGTGGACGATAGAACGACACCAAACACGAAAATTGTCGTGACAAGATCTCTGGCCACATTTTAAGGTGACGATGTCTTTCTTGCTGACACAAAGAGTAAGAAAATGTAAATTAACATGCAAAAGTCACATGCAGACGACAGCGATAATGCTAAGATAAACACGAAGAGCCGAAAGTCAATCATTTGAGACGACCACGTGGCCTCAAGTGCCATTCAACTGTTCTCGTCCAATCGCCTCTCAGACTGGTATTTGATCAAATTCAAACTATTTCAATAGTTTTTCGGTTGTTTACGAAATTTGCAAAATTTTATAGGGAAAATTTTCTTCTAATAATTCGTAGCCTCAGCCAATACATACGATCAAAAATTCTTGAAAGACCAAAAGGCTGTAAGAAGGAGCGAAGGATTGGGCGTTAAGAATGAAGGAAACGAAATGAAATCGTAAAGAGCCAGTCCAACGGGTTTAAACTTACCTGAGCTCATTAGAGGAATAATCAGCGCGTCTTTAACTTCGTGCACTTTTTTATCAGTGAACGAGGTCGTTCGCGAAATCCTGACACCACAGAAAACGGAAAGGCGCCCTTTGCCGTAAGAGACTGAGCAAGAGACTATTCAGGACATTTGTTTTGGAATTTCCGGTTCCGAGTGCCAGCTGAGCGTTGCCTAGCAACAGGAAAGTCTTGAAGTCGACAGGACCTAGGAATTTCAGAAATGGCTGCAGAATCAATTGGTGGGTTGCTCTATGGGTACAAAAATTCCGCTATAATACAACCAGAAAGAAACGATGTTGTGTGGGTAAACAAGAGACACGATCCTCTGGACCTAAGAAGTAACGCTCCTGTTCAGCGGTCAAAATTTATCTGCGGACCTCCAGACATGGCTGTCGACAATCATTGGAAACGCGAAACACAACCTTCGTTGAAGACTTTTTCACGGCATCTTGAAGAAGAAAAGTGGTATCCTTCTACTCAAGCCACTAGATGTGAAGAGTGGTCCACACTGAGACAGATGTTTCCTTCTAAAGGCGTTCTAGATCGAGTTATCTCTCCACGATGGGGAACTGGCTTACCTCTTGCGCCGAGGTTTCACCCAAAAAATCAACAGCGATTTCCACATATAAACAGCCCTATGACACGGTAGGTCCTGCATCCATTTTACTCTAAAATAATACTTAATTGTTAAGTGCTCTTAGTGATATCTAACACATTGTTATCGCTTACTGTTCGATGGAGTAAAAAAAGAACGGGCTAATTGCGAAAGTAAACGAAATGAACGAGGCTTTGTTTACGTCTGGCGTTTGTCAAGTTCTCAAGTAATTACAACTTAGGTGGTCATTGTTAAATCTAAATACAGGACATGAATACTGCGTTAACGAGTGAAGCTAACCCTGGGTATAGATTTGATTTGCACAAAAAGCGTTTGGGTTCTAGAAATTCCGAAGTTTAACAAAAGCTGTAAGCATTCATCGAAACAGCGGTGCATATTAACAAGGCCGTGGTGCGCTTGCATGCACAAGCATTTCATTTATCGCCCAGTTTTGAGCAAGTCCTTACTTAAAAAGTTCCCTAGTTCATAATGCCTTGTTTCTTTACCCCTCTTACTGAAATATACTACTTTAAGCTGGACGGATAGAGCTGTGGATCGATTTTAAATGCTTAATTATAAATTTGATAGCTTGGTAATCCCTTAGCTTGACAGACAACCTCAGACAAGAGAGATTGGGACTTGCACCCCTTAGGGGATAAGACGGGGTCCTAAGTCCGGACTACAAAATGTTAATGTTACTGTTTGGAGTGATAAGTTCTTGAGTGGGCAGATAGTGGAAAGGGAGGAGTAAGAGGTAACACAAAAGCATCAACTGAAAACAACAGTTGCATGTGTTGTGGCTTTCTGGTGGTTCACAACTTTGAAGCACATTTTAAATTTTGTCATGAGGGCAAGTTATTATCAGGCTTTGTACAAACATCACACTTTTCGTGAGCTGCACTTAATTGGAACTTGGACTGTCCCAAATAAAGAAAAGAAAATGTGCCTGTTCACAGAAAATAGCTTCAATATGTTGTAACACATGCCCTTTGTTTGGCACATGGTATTGTTGATCCTAGTCCATACTAGCAGGAAGAACAGCTAAACTGCTCCAAACTGAAGTGTTCCTTCTCAACTGATTCTGATAAGATCCTTAAAAGTAACTTTCTCCATACTTCTTCAAGGTAATAAAATCAGCCAGTAATGTGCACCTGGTTCAGCTCATAAAGACTCTGGAATCAGAACCAAGTCTTTGTGTGAACTGTTCCACAGCCCTTAGAGGACTTGAGTAGGAAAATGGCTTGCAGTGTAGTTGGAAGTAACATTATTATTTTTTCTTTCAGATATGTAGACGACATGCATCTCACAAACAGGCTCTTCAAGCTACACTGAGACATAAGCTGATTTACCTATACTTGAAAACAGTTAAAATGTTGGCGACTAGCTGTTCCTCAAGTAAAAAACAGTATCTAATGGCAATGTCTGAAGTGACTGAAATAATTTACACAACTAACTTATAACAAGAAAGTTTTATTTGATATTTTTCATTCCATCGTTTGTAATAGGCATGTTTTTTCACACAAAATGTAATAAAATACTAAAAATCAAGTTCACCTTGGACTTAAACATTATTTAGCAAGGCACCGTGTAATTGTAGCTATACCCTCACCACCTGAACCACTGAGTTTCTGGAAACAGATTTCAGCAAACTATTTGTAGTATGGAGGCATTTGATGGAAATTGTGCCATTCTAATGCAGGTACAATGAAAAAGCTTGTTTCTTGAATAAAACTGAAACTCTAAAGAAATAGTCAATCACAGTGGAGAACTTTCTTCTCATGAGTTGTTTTCATAAAGAGCCAAACTTGCCTACTTTCTGGACAAAGGCCACAAGCAAAGTTAAGCAATTTTGAGCACCTTTATAATTATGCCCAAAAAAGCTAGGCTATTTCTGCCTAGAGCCTTCTCAGTTAACAAGATGACAAATATGTAGGCACCCCTTTATTAGCAAGGTCCTTTGAAATAAGATCCTTTTTTGACCCTTTTTACTCATGATCTGAATGCAAACAACCCAGATGAATGATCATTACTAGAATTATAGTATCACCATTTGCTGCTTACTTAACCCCTTAACTCCCATGAGTGACCAAGACAGAATTTCTCCTTACAATATCAGTGCAATATCAACCAGATAAGTGATGAGAATAAAGAAAACTATCAATTTGGGGACAATTAGTTGATCCAATACTAAATTCTCTGAACAGACAATATAAGAATTGTATGGTTGACAGAAAGGAGAATTACAAATTTGGTCTGGGAGTTAAAGAGTTAAGATATGTGGATCCATCAAAACATACAGGGGAAAAACATACACAATAGTAAAAAGAAATTAATAAATAAAAGCCACAACAACAGTATCTAACCAGTTCTTTTTATTTCCAAGTATCACTAGTTTGACAGCCCATCTAATCCCAGCTAATCCAGAGTAGTATCATCTCTGTTCTCAGCTTACAGTAACTGATAAGTACAAAATACACATACAGGTACATGCAGTAATAATCAAAAAACATATGCAAAAGGTCTCATTAGAGTCACTTTTTATCTCCTTCAGTCAAGAATTCTAAAATTTCATATATTTATGTCCTTGTTTTAAGGCAGAAAAAAATGACATGTCAATCAGGTCCTCCAACCAAAAATAAACAGGTACCTTTGGCTAAATGAAAAACAAAATGGCTTAAAAAAACTAAATAACTATTTTCTTTACATTTGAACAGGTGTAGATTCAACTTTTTCAAAATGAATCCCAAAATTTTACTGCCAGATCAAACCCTTTTATCACCCTCTTGGTGATATTCCCTCCTTTTTTAAACCCCTGTGGTAATGCTACAAAAACGAAAGTCATTTATATAATGCAAACAGAGATTTAGTGAGTTCTACCTGTTGTGCAGGGTTTTGCTGTTTGCTTCAACCATAGTAAACACCTGATTGACAGGACAATGCAAGTCACCTTTAAAACTTGCTATTCAAACCTGTTTACATTCCCACATGTACCTAATTCAGAACATACAGAACTCCATGTACACAAATACAACAAGAAACGAGAAATACTTAACAGTAATATTTTGAAACTAATACAACTTTTACCTGTGTCCCTCAAATGAAAATACTTACTAAACCTTGAGGGACTTTACTTACACTTAACTCACACCCCAAACAAAGACACTTGACTCCAGTGGGTGCAAGGAGTGGCAAGTATCCTCTACAGTGCATTCATCCAGCACTAATCAAAAAATTTTTAAGAAAAAGTTAGATTTAAGATATATAAAATATTACATGACTGCTTGTGGCTGCGAAGTTTAATTTTGGGTATTGATTATTGGCCATATAAGCCGCACCATTTCTTCCACAAGCAGAAATGAAATGTTCTGTTTATTACACCAATACAAATCATATGTACATATCTAACCATACATTTTCAACAAAAAGCTACTTCAATTTCTGTCATAAAACAACTTCTCTTGTAAAATTACTTCATTTCTCGCCAAAGATAAGGTTGATTTCAACCCATGGCAATGCTGATTAAAAAAATCCCTTCAAGAGAAGTGTAGCAGCTATTGTACTTCACCCAGTTACCATGATGACATTGTTATAATCTCATGTGAAGATATAAATGGTATGTTGAGAACCCCAAGTGAAGATGTTGTGTTTTTCAAAAAATGAGAAACAACGTAGTAATTTGTAAAACAAAAAAAACTTGAACATTAATTTAAGAAAACTAGGTAGTCTGTGATAACAAGGAAAAATAAATTTTCCATTCTCAAAACTGAAATATGAAAAATTAATTTATATTGCTTATGAAAATTGCCTACCATGACACTCTTTTGTTTTGAGTCATTCGCATAAATTTGTTGGTAAAAATTGAAAGCTTAGGTATCTTAAGATACTCTATGGGTTTTAGTTCAAACATCAGTATCACAATACTAACCTAGTATTATCAACATCAAAGTCCTGGAGAGAATGTTGAAACCTGCAAAGAAATGAAACTGAAGGAGATTTCTCTTATTGTTAGTGCTCATATCTGACAGAATCAAAGTGGACAGTTCTTATTTATAAAGGATATATGTAGTGTTATTGTGAGAAGACGGTTTTACCTGATACATTGAATGCCTCTAGTTTAGGCAACTTTTCTTTGATTTATAATTTACTCGCACAACCCCTGTGCTAGTATCATTGATGCCTCACCATGCTCTAACAAATGACCTCATGATAGCCTAATGGGTTAAAATTAGAGTGGGTCCAGACTTCTTTAAATTCAACTCATCTACCAATTTTCAAGTAAAAACTGTGTCAGTGTCTACAATTTCATGTATGCTATATGCATTGAATTCCTTTGACCTGTTTCACCTCAGTTTATTGCACCATTGGCTTTCTTGCTGCATTCTGCACAGAACTCAAGTGATACTTTACCACTTTGGACATGAACACAAACCCCTGCATCAGTTGAACTGATTTTGTCACCTGAGCTTTCTTCTATTTTTCTCTTGTTCCTTTTGTGATACATATTGCAATCTTTCTCACCAGAATCTTCCGCATGATCATTATATTTTCTTTTGTTTGCCTTACCATCACTACCTTCACTGTCCTGCAAGACACCACAGCTGATTGAAATACCAGGAGTGTTGGCAACGCTCCTCAAAATTGTTGCCAATTCACTTTGGTTTTGTATCACGCCTTTTAAGTAACGGATTTCATCCTGGAGATCCTCTATTTTATCATGAAGCTGAGTGCTGGCCTGCTTTAGCATTGCCTTGTCTCTTTTAAGAGTTTCTATGGTATCCTCCAGTTCCTGGATGTACTTTTTCTTCCTTTCCCGCTGTTGTTTTGCTTTCTCAGCCTGAGTTTTAGAGGTGCTCAGGGGTTTTTCTTTCTCCGCTGTCAAATTGGTGCTTTTCTTGAAAACTTCTTTACATTGTGCCACGGCCTTGGTTGATATTTCTTTGCTCTGAACAGAATGAAATTTTACAGTGTTTTTACCTGGATTCCTTTTCTTTAAACTCTCGTTCTCGTCGAGGTCATAGTTACATTTTCCTTCTTTATGATCAGATTTCTTCATCTTGGTCGACTTCCCGACAGAGTTCCTTTCCTTTACCACCACCTTTTCTTTTCCCTGCTTAGGTTTATCTGGTGTATCCTGAGTGAGCCCTGAATCCTCAAATGCGTTAGCATCTAAGTCAATAGGATCAATATCCCATCCGAAGCCTCCACGTTCGCATTCAAAACTATCTCCTTCCATACTTTGTTCTTCCTCAGAATTCCATCCTTCATCATCGTTGAACTGCAAAAGATACTTCGTGAGGGGAAGATCGTCATCGTTTTCCATCCCTTTGCACTTTGAGTTGGTCCAAATATCTTGAGTGAAACTCGGAATTCCGCCAAAAAAGTCGTCTTCGAAGTCAGGATCTTCGAACGCTGCGATGTTTGAGAATGTCTCGAATCCTGCATTTTGTAGAGGCGAATTAGACATTCTCGAAATTCTTCTTATTGGTCAATAGGTTTATAATATCACTGAGTAAATCAATGTGACTTACGTTTGAGTTTGGCGTCCAAGTAAGGTGAAAGAACTAAACTTTTCCAATGTACACTTCGTGAAGAACATCGATTTCTTTTAGGATTAGAACGTTGTGGGTACGTTTCTTTTGGTGATTCTGATTGGCTTACTATTGACACGTGAAGCTTCTACCCCAATCCTATCCCAGTCTGTCACGGTCATAGACTTGTTGATAATGGCCCACGGTTTGCACTTAATTTTTCTCACATTATCATTATGTATTTCTACGCTTTACAGTCAGTTACCAAAGAAAGGAAAATACTACGCTATTAAGGAGGATATTCCTCACATCAAATGTGAAACATGTCAAAAGGCGGTTAAGTATTTATATGGCAAAACCCATGATATGCGGACAGCTGAGGGGACATCAAAACCGAAAAGGGTATGTCTGACATTATATTTGCGCCAATTTTTTTGTCTTACTGCCGGCGCACTTTCGGAAAAGAAAATTATGATGGAATCGTGAGCCGCAGAAGCATTTCTTTTCCGCTAATGACCGATACATAGACATATTTTATGCCAACGTTGTGCATTTAAACATTTAAAATTCACACCAGTTTATTTGCATTTCCACACTGACACTCTCATTTTTTAGTCAAATTCATGCCCATTATTCCATTATTCCCATTATTCCATTATACCCAGCTCAGGGTGGATATTCTTTGTTAAACCTTTTTTACATAAAACTTTTGGAGTAACTGCAGAATACCAAGCCTCTTTGGTCCACCTCATTTACATGTGTCGGGAGGCTATGAAGATCGAAGCATACACAATAGACGCTATTCTTAATCAATGACATGTAAATGAATGGCAGGGTGTTCTGCAGTTTAGCCAAAATTTTTGTTTTCATATAAACTTGAGAACTATTTTCTTGAATTTGAGAAAAAAAGTTTCAATAGCTGTAATGTATTACATTTTTTTTATTTCTGAGTCAATACTGCTTTTCACAGACATAGTGAAAATGAACTTTGTTGTCATTGTGTGCAGCAGGGAGTCGTTGAGTTTATTAATAATTCCATCAGTTCTGTTATTTGATTATTTCTGTTTGGTTCAAATAATTTCTTCATGAATGATTTAATAAATCCAGATGTAGTCCATTGATATGTTTGAAGTCTTCTAAGAAGTGACCCAGTAAGATGAAGGAATGATGAATTTATTTATGAACTAACTAGAATTAGGGCCAAAGAGCCTGTTATATTTTCCTTCCTCAGTTTGAGTACCTGGATCCTTAAAAATAATACATGTAAATTATCTCCCTCTTCTGTTGTTCAAAAGTGATGTTAATAATGCTAGATGTCTACTAAGAAAATATCCTGGAAAAAGATATTTGAGATCATTTAACTTCTTTTAATAGATAGAAGGGTTGATTGAAAATAACTTAAGAAATGTCTGTTCTGTTTTTTTTTTTTTTTTTTTTTTTTTTTTTTTTAGCAAGTGTTGCAATTCACAAGATCTGTGAAATATCATAATGCCAGTTTGTTATATTGTCTTATTTTTTAAGATATCTATACTGATCAAGACCCAGCCAATTGTATTTTATTTGTTTTGGTTCAGCTCTGGAATTTTTTTAGTGGATGAGTATGTTCAACTTTAATTAACTGTTTTTTTTACACTTTATTTTTTACTGAAATACTTTTTAAAATATATTTATTAATTAATTTTTTTGACAGATGTCTGTTATTTAAAATTTCAAATTGAAGAAATTTTCAGACAAGAGGTATAAAATATATATAAGTGAACACTATCAGTCTTTGTTATTCTGTTTATTCTAGATTAGTAGGGTGTCATGAAAAGGGAAAGGAAAAATGAAAAATTCAGAGATTCAACAGGGTTTTCCATCCTCTGTGTGAATTGATTCTCAAATTTATGAATGAAGTTTAACATTGTGGTGTTGCATTTGATGCCTTGGAAAATTTACTAACTAAAGGTGGTTTACATTTTTTTTATTTTTGTCAGTGTCAGCTTGATCATCATAAAGTTTGAAATTAGAAAAACTTGTCTTCCTTAAAACTAATGAATAGGAAGAGATAAGGCTAACTGTTGAAGTTGAAAAATTTGTGATGACTATGTTTGACAGAAAGACAAGGAGATTAAGATTTCAGTTCAGCGAGAACATATTTGAATTTTAGGCATTGCTTTTTTAGTCTTCTGAGTAATGTCTGGTAGTCTGATTTATTTTTTTCTAATGTTACCATTTTGCAATTAGTAAAAATTAGTTTCAAAAAATGAATCCTTTGCTTTAAAAACTTCCATTTGGTTTTTATCCCTTTTTGCCAAAAAAAAGAAGAATGTCCTCTGACCCTTAAAAAAAATCCCAAAATTGCATATTTCAAACTCAGTTGATCCTTTGATGTACCTGTTACTCTGAATCTTGATTGTTTGCATCTGGGTCACTTTTATTCCTGGGTACCCCCCTGGATTTCAATAACATTTAGAGAACACCCAGTTGTAAGAAGACATTCAGCAGACATTATCTCAATGAGCTTGTATTCTTGTATAGCTTGACAAGAAATTTTAGTTTCATTTTACTGACTGAATCACTTCTGAAGATTACATTTCTTTATATTTCTGATAACTTATTATCTAGTATGTTATGTGTTACTCTATGTACCAAAACTGATCATGTCTCACGGTTTGGCCACAAATCTCTCTGCCATGTTTGGTGTTAACAATTAACGACTGGTAAGTTTAAGCAATCCACTTAATAATTAGTATCCTGCAGGTGCCCTGTACAAAGGAGACACCAGTAATTTTTGTTGGTTTACTGCTTGATACATGCGTCACTGTATTTAAAATTAATTTTTTTGATTGATAGCTTGAAGAAGATAAAGTAATTGAGCTTGTGGAGAAATCCTGCAATCCAGAGAAAGAGGAAGGAAGTTGGATTTCAAAAATAGACCTTGTGGAAAAGGATGGAGAGTTAAGACTTTCTGAGCAAACTGATGTTGGAAAATGCAAAAGAGAATGTCAGACTGTTTCAAAGGCTTGTGAGGAGTCTGTTGGAGATGTAGACACAGATCTGGCAGAATTGCTATGGAAAGACAAATTAACTTTATCTAGACTGATCAATGAAGTTTGCTACTCCATGTCAAGTGTATGCAAAGGAAAGAAACCAAAGCTGAAGGCTGGAGAAAGAAAAGTTGATGAAGAGTTTCATGTGATGACTGAAGATGAAAAGAAGGCAGATGAAGTTCTAAAACAAATGAGGTAAGGAGTTTTTAAAGATTTGATACCAGAGTGTTGTGTCAATATTGATTATTTGCTATATTTTAGGATGTTGTTATAGTCAGAGATATTTCCAAATGTGAAAAAAAACTTATTGATTAACCCCAACTTGTTCAATTAATAAATAATTGAATGGATTTTGTAGAAATATAAAAGATAAAGTATTATCACTTCATCAGGCATTTTGGCACATTTTACAGGCTTAAATAGAGATTGTGGTATTTCAGCTCCCTCTCACACTTGCATGATTGTTCAGACTGTTTTGTTGTCCCTTTTCCAGTTTATATTTTCCTAATGTCCTCCATTGTTGGCCCAAAAAGTTTGTGTGGTTGGGCATATTTATTTTTGCAAACATAAACAATATTTTTCTATTCCTTCTTTTTTTCCTCAGGGGAATGCCTGGAATGCCAGGCATGGAGATGTACTCCAGGGAGGACATAGAAAAGATGAGAGACCAGCTTGGTGATCACAGAAAAGAAAATGATGAGGGTGAAGAAGTGTTGGACAGTGAAGGAAACCTTTTTCATGGAGAAGGAGTTAGCTTCCTGCAAACAGTTATGAATGGACTATCATGGCTCTGGTCCTGGCTAAAGAACCTCGTTGGTTTCAGAAATAGCTTGTCAGGAGAATTATGACATCACAGCATATTGTTTAGGGGTTGTGATATTAGAGCAAACATCTTTGTCAAATCTGATTTGTTTAAGCTAGGAAATTTGGAAAAATATATTTAGCACTCAAAGCTCTAAAAGTTTTGGTGGCTATAGTAGGAAAAAGTAATTTTGGGAACTAAATTTTTTGTAAAAGTGGCCAATTTGGCAGGCGATTCAGGTGATATGAGTGCGCATCCTAAATTGATGGCCAGCCAAATTGCCAGTGGTCTTGATTGTTTCAAAGAAAAGTGATCTGGTCAGTGGTATTAAGTACAGGTAATTCATGTGATACTGCACCAATTGTCCTTTGCCATTCATCGCTCTCCCTGCCTAAACTCTTATTTCTGGAGGCCACTTTCTAAGTTAAAGTTTTCAAATAGTGACTATCAAGAAAAGTTGAGCTTGGAGCCCTGATGTTAGATGTAAGAGGTTGAATGGTAGTAGTGATAGTAAAATTGTTATAAGTTGGTAAGTTTGAATGAGGTGGTCACCAATGCCACTGAAAATTGTAAACAGAATTTTAATAATAGTTGCTAAATATGCATTAAACTTTAAATATATTCAATTTTCCTCCTCTAAAAATCTCTTTAGACATGAAACATCCATCATTTTTGTTGCATTTTCATCCACTTGATTTATTGGTAGTTGTTAAAGAATAGGAATATGTGTAAGCATGGATGCATCTTAAAACTCTGCATTGTCGTATTCTTTACTGAGCTAAAAAATTTAGGAATTGAGTTTTAAACAGTCAAACTGTTTCATGTTGTGACTGATTCAGAAACATCTAATTCCTACCGTGTTTCCCTCTTGAAAATGCTTGTTTATGGGATTTCCATATTCTTTTGGATCACCATCTAGAATGTAAGCAAAGCAGGAGCCAAATAGGATCAAACAAAAGGGGGACACCAGAGGGTGGGGCTCTGCATTGCTCTTGCACTTCACATTCATTCTTAGGAGCATGTGTCAAGATTCCTCTTGTAGAGAAATTTGAAATGTAATGGTTGTGGAGATGCTGAGTGTGACCTATATCTGTTAGGTCACTGATAAGTTTTAATTTCCAAAAATATATACTGTTAGGTTTTGTGGAAGGACTTGCTAAGGAATGCTGAAAAACCATGTAGAAAAATTTTTTATTGAAATGCAAGCTATGTATGGACTCATTCTATTGATGCAACCATAACTTTCAATCTGAACTACTTTCCTGCCCCATTGCATTGTCACTATTTGTTCACCAAGTGAATTTTGAAACTGGTTTATAATTTATCGCCAACTGGCAATTCTAATTTTTGGAATTAATCTGGAGTTAAAAGTCTGAAATTAAAAATAAGGAATGTGATACATGCTTTGAATTGATAACTTTGTGTGTTAGTTAACTGGTTTGAATTCTCACTGAAGAAGAGGAATAGCTGACTGCCAAGACTGATGTGAGATGAAAGCAAACTTTGCTGCTGTTGGTGCTCTCCTGTAACCTTGAATGACATTTTTCAAAAGGACACTTCATCCTTTCCACCCTAATATCAGTTTGCTTATTCTCCATACTGTTCTCTCTACATTTCCTAAGGTGCTGACAAGGAGAATTTGTTTAACAATCAAGAACTTCTTTGGCTGATGATCATTTTCTTTATTCTCATGACCTTCATATGTGATTCAGGGGTGATACTGTAAGAAGAAATTAGAAGCTAGTCACCCTTAGGGGCTAAAGGATTGAGGTGTCATAGGGTATCAAAAAATGGGTACAGAATTATTCAGCCAAAATTCGTTGACCTTGGCTGTCCTTTTTTTCTCCCAGTACAGCACTTGACACTATTATCCTAGCCTGTCAGTTCATTTCATGAAAACCCTTGATCCTTTCTTCAAGCAGAATTTATCTGTACAACCAATTGCAACAATGTTGAGACACCTTGTACAAAATGTGTTTATGGACTCCTAGGATGACCGAGAAGAAATTTTTTGCCAAAAAATGGTCCCCCTTCCCTGATTCAAAGTTGTTCATCTAATTTTTGTACATGATACTGTGTAAGTAGCCAGCATTATTTCAAAGGCAGGGCTTCATGGGGTAGGGGTTACATGTAGAGATTATGTTACATGGCAAGGTGATCAATTTTCTCTTGTAAGCTACATGTCTCAACTTTTGCAACTAGTTGTTACTAGCCTTTGATGCTGTGTGTAGACACTTTGCCTGGTCTCATTGTACCTCATTATACCTATTTCTATCAAGGTTGGGATTTAAAGTGGAATCCAGGAGTCCCTTCCTTAGTTTACCTTTCCAAATTTGAATTGGATAATTTACAGTAGAAGAAAAATAGGTAAGGCATACATAGATTGTTTTTTGTTAAAAGAAGAAGAAAAAAAAAACTATTCACATCGATTGTGCAACGCTTTTTTCTTTTTCGGTGATTATTGAAATTCATCGTAAATGAAATAACTGCAAGCTCTCCGTGAATTTCCCCACTTACCCCTCCCTCCTAAAATTTTGTAAATGGAAAACCTTGAGCCCGCAACAGTAACTCCAGTGGATTGCTTAATACTTGTTATTTACGTCGTGTAAATTATTGCACATTTTACGTCGTGTGCTGCATGGTGTATCGCATGTGCATTTGATACTTAGTGATCATGAAATCGGCGTTAAAATGGCCGTTACAGATGGCAGTTATGGACAAACTATCCTGGAGATTACAAAGTACTTTCCTTATTGGCTTGATCGGTCTCTCAAGTAAAATATTTCTAGGTGAGTGTTGGCAGAGAGTTGTCCGGTCGCCTTTAGAGAAGACTTGGGCGTTTCGTTAGTGTCAAACTCATTGAATTTTATCCATCGTATCAAAATCAACAGGTCTTAAAGATGTGAAATGACAAACACTATTGATTTATAGAAATCTGAACTCAGAATTATGCCAGAACAGTAAGCTTAAGTGAACTAAATACAAATATTGGGAAGCCTCTAGATTATTCGGCCATCGAAAGTCATGCATAGATGTGCAGCTTTCTTGTCATTAATTGCTCTCTTCAAAAACGTGCATGATACAGGTACATGTAATATACTCTCGGCGTGAAAAATATACCATTTATATAAATGTGTATTTAAAACTTTGTAGACTAATATTTGTTTGCAGATGATTTGACAGCCTCGTGTTTTTTGCTTTTTTGTAGAATGGTTTAACTCAGTTCGAAAGTACAATTTCGATGTTTTGGTGAGGAATGCTAAAGACAGGCCAGATGGGGTTCCATTAGTTACAGTGTGTAACCATACATCTTGCCTTGATGATCCATGCTTGTGGGGTAAGTAGTCACATCATTTGAGGGTTTGTGGTTGAATCTCTTATAAGCCAAGTAATACCCTCTAAATATATTTGTACAGAGTATGCCCCTTGAAGAAAGTAAGAAGAGCAATCTATTTGTAAAAGGTCTTGCACCTAACTTTCATGTTTCTTTATGTAGGGCTTATACAACTAAAAAGTGTTCTTAACCCAAGCAAACAGATTCGATGGTGAGTGTTCCAAATAGTTGACATCTCAATTTCTTAGGGTCTGCCAGAATTGATATACTTGAGACAAGAGTTGCCTAATGGTTACCGCAGTGAACTTGTAACATGCTTAAGTGGGAGCCCCAACATTGTGATTGTGTTGTGTTCTGGAGAGAGACTCTTTACTCTCACAATGGCTCCACCTGCCAGGAGTATAATCTGATGGCAGAAAACTGTCATAAATACTAAAGAAAAGCTAAAGGAGGGAGGGTTAATTGTGATGTATTGGGAAGAGTAGACATACTCCTTGGCAATGTTATGCAACAGGAAATGGTTATGACTTCACTTTTGTCCACATAATCTTCTTAGTATTGAACAGTATTTAGGTGTAGTTTACTGACAGAAGCACTCTGTGTTCCTCAGGACTCTTGGTGCTCAAGAACTTCTATTTTCAACTCCTTTCCGTACTTTCTTGTTTAGCAGAGCAAAGGTATGATGATGAAAGTGAATGGCTTAAGTCGCTAATCATTTACATGACATGTATAGAATTTAATAGCATGAGGCCAGATCTGTTACTTTGTAGACAAAAAGAAGGCATATAAACCTGTATAACAGATAGCATGTGTGAAGCAAAATACTCTTCATGTACTCTAAGTTGGATTTGTGTAACGGCTTTATCTGTTAGTTTGATCAAATATTCTCCTCTCTGAGCTCAGCAGTTTGATAGACCAAGACCACATCACAATACCAGAACACAAAGCTCTCAGGGGCTCTTGGTGACTAGTGTGTGGGTTCTTTAGTGTTCCCTGTAAACCCCATGGTATTGTAGGTAAAGGAGAAAGAGCCTACATATATTTTTTGTTTTTTGATAAGACCATCAATATTGTCTTTTAGAAACAAATGTACATGTAAAGAGTGATAAATCTCCTTAATTATTTTTATGACTCTAGGTGTTAGTCTAGTCAGAGGTTTGAACCCGCAATCAGCGGTCTGTTAACCTAGAATTTATTTTTATTTATTTATTTTCACTTATTTTTGTCTACTACTAGGCAATTCCTGTCATCAGAGGTAAGCCATTCCTTCACTTTGATTGTTGTTCAAAATTTCACATGTTAAGTTTGCTTTTCTTTATGGGCATTTAGTTCAATGTTATAAATACTTTGCACTTAAGATCAAACTTTCCAAGTTTGATCTGAGTGGTTAGAAATTAAAGGTGTATCAGACAAAACTTGTGACAGTCCAAATACTACCTTGGGTAGTGATTGATGGTAGTGATGAGTTTCCAGGGTAGTATGGCAAAATTCAAGAAAGTTCTGTCAGTCATTTAACCTGCCTAGATGAGGTGCAGAGGTCTAACTTAAAGTATTATTATCCATCAGGTGATGGTATTTTTCAGAAAGGAGTGGATGTTGCTATCGAACAATTGAATAAAGGAGAATGGATTCATGTTTTTCCTGAAGGTAACCAATTAAAGCTAAAGAGCTTACAATTTAGGAATCTTAGTAGAGTTATCAGAAAATCGAATTTTTCTAACTTGTGATATCAAAGATTGATTAAAACACAATAGTTGGTATGCATGTAAGCAGGGATTTCAATAAAATCCAGTTACCAGTGGTGTTCAGCTGCCTGTAAGACTACTACTATGGAAAAGAGGGTTAGTTCTTCGGACAAATTCATGTCAGCAGTACCATTAGTTGTGTTTGGAAAACAGTGTGGAGAACAATTTTGTATGCTGCTATTATTGCTTAACCCTTTAACTTCCTTGAGTGACCAAGACAGAATTTCTCCTTACAACATCAATACAATATTAAACAGATAAGTGATGAGAATAAAGAAAAACATCAATTTGGGGATAATTTGTTGATCCAATACTAAATTCTCTGAACTAAAATTATAAGAATTGTATGGTTGACAGTGAGGAGAATGACAAATTTGATCTGGGAGTTAAAGGGTTAAGGGATAGAGTCATCATTTATCACACCATTTACTATCCAAGCTTTTTTTTTCTTTCAAGCAAAGTTTTAAGCCTGAATTGTCAACTAGTGTCAGTGATTTTCCTTTAAACTGTCATTTAGAGGTTGTTGACCTTTACTGACTGAGTTGTTTCAATGTGATACTTGTTTTTAACTTGTGAGTAACATCTTCATTCCTTCATTCATTTTAGGTGCTGTTAACATAAATGATTCTATCAAGAGACTTAAATGGGGTAGGTGCAGGTATCTATAAGACATTTGTATAGTGTTGGGATTGAATGGTCTGCAAATATTTTGAGTTACTTAGGAAATATTGATCCAGCTTTTTACATCCCTGAGAAACATTCTCTCACCCCATTTTCTATCAGCTTTCTTTCCTAAATCTTTTACTCCAGTAATGAGAGTTTATTCTGTCAGGTGTTGGGCGGCTAATTGCAGAGGCACAAGTAACACCAATTGTTGTCCCATTCTGGCATGAAGGTAAAGTAAAATGTTGAAAACTTGGGAACTTATTTTGAAAGTCATGGTGATGGTGATGGTTTGTATATTCTCTTGAACATTTTGCCCTGGTGCAGTTTTTCAAAGACTCTATACCCCTATATTGGGTGAAATGTTATGGTGCTCAGCTATACCAACCACCAGAATGTGCCACCTGCTATGTTGTGAAAATATTCACAACTATCTTGTCTGTTTTTGTTGTAAGAAACAGCTCTGCACATTGCACCCTTTCACTTAGGTCAGTTGAGAATTTAGAAATATGAAATGCTAGAATGCTGCACTTCTCTAGAGTACTGTTGATTTTTTAAAAACTCATGTTCAGAAAATTGCTTGTTTGTATCATTTTCTTTTCTTTTCTCTTTCTTTTTTTTCAAGACACTAATAACAATTTGTAGAATATGAACCTCTTGGGCTTTATAACTTTAATTTGCAAAGGACCCTTCAGTGTTAACAGTGCTCCTTGTCTTTTTGTAGGAATGGATGATGTTTTACCTAATTATAGTCCCTACATTCCAAGAATAATGAGGGTTGGTTTCTATTTTGGTGTAGACTGACTGACTGACTGACAGACTGACTGATACCCTGACTCATCAATTGATTGATTGATTGATTGATTGACTAATGGCTTGACTGACTGAGTGACTGCCTGACTGATTAGCTAACTGACTTACTGGCTGACAGACTGACTGAGTAACTGCCTGACTGACTGGCCAACTGACTCGCTGGCTGACAGAGTGATTGCCTGACTGATTGGTTTATTGATTTGCTGGCTGACAGACTGAATAAGCGACTGCCTGACCGATTGGTTCACTGATTTGCTGGCTGACAGACCAACTGAGTGACTGCTTGACTGATTGAGCGACTGACTTGCTGGGTGGCTGACAGACTGACCAAGAAACTGCCTGACTGATTGGTTAACTCATTTGCTGGCTGACAGACTGACTGTGTAACTGCCTGGCTGACTGGCCAACTTAGTCGCTGGCTGACAGACTGACTAAGTGACTGGCAGACTGATTGAGCTACTGACTTGCTGGCTGACAGACTGACTAAGTGACCGTCAGACTGATTTAGAAACTGACTTGCCGGCCGACAGACTGACTTAGTGACCATCAGACTGATTGAGAAACTGACTTGCCAGCTGACTGAGTGACTGACTCACTGAGGCAAGGAGGGACAAATTGATGGACTGACCCATTGGCTGACTGACAGACTGATTGACTGACGAACTGATTTTGGGATTTGCTTATTTAGCAACGTATTGACTGACAGAGTAAGTCATGATTGAGTTGATAATTAATTTAATTAATTGACTGATGTACCCACTGACTTACAAACTGACCAACCAACCAGTTGAATCAACAACTGTGTGGTTGATTAATCAATTGACTGGCTATAAAGATTAAAGGAATGTTTTCTCACGAGAGACCACTGGATCTGAGAATGAGCACTATTGATAGAAAAGTCTATGGTTAAGAAGTTTAGGTTTAAGCCCTGATTGTGTAGCATTCTTGGGTAAGACTCTCTAATCTTACACATCCACCCTTCGCCCAAGAATATAATTAAGGAAACTTGCTTGGATAGTGGCTACAAACGATGGAATGTCACCTCTTAACGGAGTAGCGATTGGATTCTTCATGCTTAACATGCCGAAATATGCTCTCATCGCTTACCCTTCGGTAGTTACATTGTAGCTAAGCCTACAAAATTTTACGTTTCACAATAGAGAGTCACAGTGCTCATAGGAGAACCAATGGAGTTCACGGAGACTGTAGAAGAGTACCGAAAAGCCAAGAAAACTGCGGTAAGTTTCGAGTGAGATATTATCATTATTATCAGTTTGTTAGACGCCAAGTAATGCATGGGGTACCAACAAGCTTTCTACAATCCTTGCCAAGGACGGCTAGCCGCAAATTTTAAACCCCTTTCCAGTTTTGTGGAAACAGTCTACCATCCTCTCTATACAGTAAATGGTTTTAACCCAGGGGTAACATGTAATAGTGTGGTTTGATCGTCCGGGTGAGGGTAGTCCTGAGAAGGATTGTTGTCGGTAGTGGTGACTGACGTTTTGACAACCTGAGCGGATGTCATCATCAGAGTTATTGGCTGTAAGACTTATAGTCTTTAACAGCCAACATCACGGCAAAACTGACCAATCAGTTTATACCAACCGGACTAAGAACATTCTATAGACAACAACAATTCACTTGATTCTGATGATGACTTCCGCTCAGGTTGTCAAAACGATAACAATCCTACTCAGGACTACACTCACCCGGACGATCAAACTACACTGTTACATCCTCTCTATGTTGAAATTTTTTCTTGTGGTCCAATTTTTTTGTTATGACATTTACAAGGGGTAGAGGGACAAATGGGAAGAAGTTTGTTCGTCCCAGTTAAGGTTCTAATGAGTCTGGGGTCCTGCTTCGGCATTACACCTCTTGGAGGAGTAAGGATGGTTCGTTTCCTTATTACCCCCTGGTGTCGATCTGAGGGAAAGGTAAGACACGTTTCTGGTTTTCCCCATGGAGGGTGCCCGGTCACATTGTGTACGTGGCAACTCGCCCACGCTTTGGTCGACTCGCCTTCGTCTTTGGTTAACTCGCCGTCGTCCTTATTTGTCAACTGGGCAATGACACGTTATTTAATTAATGAGGGTTGATCGTGGACGTTGGCGATTTGTTCTTAGGTGTGTTGACACTAGGGCAAAGTGAACTGTTTAACTTTGGAGTTATCTTTTTCTTGCAAGTTTGAAAAGCTCATTGTTAAAAATATTTCTCTTCGTTCATTTCAGATGGAGACAAGAAAACACATCACTGATAAGATACAGGAGCGGTTTAAGGAGCTTAAGGAAGAAACACGGCTTCTGCACAGCAAATGGAGATAACCTCTTACCAATATGTTTAGATATTTGAAATGCTTTCGGTGCTAATTTATGTGACAATATTAACCCTTTAACTCCCATGATCTGATTGCTAATTCTCCCCTCTAGCTGCTACACATCTCCTTGTGAATTAGTTACGAGAAGTTGGTGTTGGACCAAGACAACTCCCGCCTGATCCGCTCGAGTATTCTCATCACCTCTTTTTACTGGATAATGTATGAGTGTAACTGGGAGAAGTTAAATGTTAATCACTTCTGAGAGTTTTAAAAGGGTTAAGGGGCCTCTGTCAATGTGACTCGCCGTAAAATTAAAAATAAAATCACGATGAAAATTGCTCCAGCTTGCAAACGTCTGCCAAAAACGCTTTGTAGTGTCATTACAAATTCTTCTCTATGCTCGAATCATTGAGATTACATGTTCCTTATCTTTCCAGCGCAAAAAGGGACGGAAAACTGATAGCATGATGTTTCGGGGGACGATTTGTTTCTTCCGCTTTTCGGACTAAGGAAAAAAAAATGGAACGACTGATCGCTGTTTGCTCTGTCAGTGAAATAGACACATTTCTTTCCTAGTTTTTTTTCCGCCCATTTGTAAATTCGGATTTCTTTGGAGGTAAAACACAGTATGATTATTTCAAGTTGTTAATTAAAGGAACAAAACTCATATGGCTTGTGGTAATATGATAAATGTCCCCTTTTCTGCCCATACGGGGTTTTCACCACTTCGAGCCAAACGTGCTTGGTTTACTGTCATATTTGACAAGATGGGGCGCTGTGGTCATCCAGAGGTATTAGAGGGTTACCTTTCTGTCTTACGACGCGTTGAACTCGCCAACAATACAACAGTACAGCTTTGTATTGATCTCGGGATACAAAGAGTTATGTTCTTTGGGCCATTCGAAGATTTCTTTACTTTGGGCAAAATAGAAAATCTAGATGAATTTACTGACTTTCTTAAAAGTACTTGGAGTCTCTTCTTTAGATATATGTGGAAATTCTTTTAAAGCACAAAACTATATTAAAAATACTTTTTAAAATACGTCTTTACTATTTAATCATGTCATCTCCGGAGTTACCGTGTCAACCATGAACGTTGGCGAGTTCACTCTGGATACCAACGAGTTGACCAAAAATAAGACTAAGTGTGTCGGTGAGTTGCTAGGGATTTAGTTGTCACCGATTTGTCATGATGGATAATTTTTGATCGGGAACCACCTGGAATCCGATGTTCAATGTGAATTTCGAATATAGACCATAATTTGTGTGTTTCGTGGCAGTTATCGTTTCGTTTGCTAGGAAACGAAACAAATCAATTTTGGCTTCAAGGTCAGCTATTACTTGTTATTGGGGAAAATTGGACGATCGGTCGAAATGAAGTTTGAAGCTGTAGACTTGTGAACACACGATTTTGAAAGGTCGCAAAAAATACGTGAAACTAACACGAGGGAAGCAAATGTATCACAGATAAAAAATTTTTGCGATAGTGATTTCAGATTAGATTGAGGCTATACTTTTGTGGAATATGCAAATTATTTTCTTTTCGCGGATGGTAATGTCAACATTTCGCAAAATTCATTGGCTTGTAACAAAATTAAGTCCTAGAGTCATCTTTAAAACCAGATGGCAGTCCCTAAAACAATAGCAGATGGTCGAGGTAAACACATTCATAACAGGAATAAGCTTGTTACATGTTAGTGGAGATTCGCGGAATGGAACATAGCAGTGGTATTTGAAGTAACATTTGATTGCTGGTGAAACAGGTCGAACTTGAAGGATATCTGACAGGCGAAAACAATTAACTTCAATTATCATCGCGGGGAGGAAAAAATTATATCGTTTGAAGTGGCTTCTTGTTGCCTTTGAATAGCTAATTCTTAAGTGTTCTTTCTTCGCTTAGGTTTCCTGTGGATTGGTTTTCTAATTTGAGGTCTGAATTAGTGTGACTGGTGGGGGTCCAATCGCAAACGGCACAGTAAGCAAGCTTGCTAGGGGGTAGTGGGAGAAAAAAAATTTGGAAAAATATTATTTTACATACATTTTTTTATCATCTTAGTTGAGTTTTCCTGCACTTTATTCACGTTCTTCTTTTCCAAAATAAATGCGTTAGCGTTTTGCAAGGAGTTGTGGGATTGAAGATGGACCGGGGAAACTGGACCTGAACGGTCATGTTTGCGGTTGTGAAGTTGCTGTCATGGCGGTGATCTGAAGCTTTGTACGTGGCAAAGTGCACTGCTCTGAATATTCAACGAGAAATGAAAACCCTGCCTTTTTAAATTGTTTGTATAGAATTTTCGTAAATTCTAGTTAACCACTGCAGTGTCTGATCTGGTGACCACAAAGCACGATTACGCAAATCTCGTCATAAAATTCAAGATGTTTCGAAGAAATATCTACGTTATGCGTTTACTTTTTTTGCTACTTTCTGTGGCAGTATACGGCGCTCAGGCAACAGGAGATGAAAACTTAGGAAATACTCAGAGTGGTGTAGGAACTAATGCAAAAGAGGGTGCCCGTGAAGCTTCTGCCAGTGACAATTGGATCACGAATCTGTCATGGAACCTTCTTGGCTATGCGACAATAATCATACCCGGAGCCTTCATTATTCGCATGCTCAAGAACTCGAACTTCAACGAAAGAAGCGGTAAGTCTAAAGGATTATGCATACGTGTACTGATTGTAAATTTTGCAGTATAGAGATGTCAGCCCACAGTTTCGTAGAGCTTTAGGTGGTAGCTGGTGACTGTGTCTGACGTTAATAGTCGTGTAGATGTACTTCCCTCTTATGTGCGGAAAGTAGCAAGTATTTGTCCAAAAACATAGCTTCCTTATATTATAAACAGGTTTTAAAACATATCTACGGGCCACCTGAGTCTCTTGAGAATAGTGATCATTGAATGAACAATTTTGACTGTATTAATTTTCCATAATAATAGTATCAGTTGTAGTAAAGCGTTGCCCATTTATCCATTTACGATTATTTTCAAGGGTGCAAATTATGTCTTCAGTAAGTTTTTCTGGTTTGGCAAAAAATGACAGTCAACTTTTTAGTTTAATTGGGGGGAAGGCACATTGAGGCAATACAAATGGGGCACAGAAGTTTGTGCATGACTGGCCAAGGGTTTATCTCCTGAATTTTCTTCTTGAGGTCTGCTAGTGAACCAAGACCATTTTTGCAAAAGATTGGGGAAGTCCCAGTAAACCCAATCAAATAGTAAAAGTGCAGTGACTGAAGTTTCAGTGGAAATGATAATAGCTTATTAAAATGTTTGTTTGAATTTCCTAAAAGGTTAATGAAACAAATGCCATTATGTAAGAGTGGTTGCTGTGGAGACTACTTGAGTTATTGTTATATAAGCACAGACCATGTGGTATAACCCTTTACACCCTAACATTAGTATACATATTCCCCATACTTTCTCCATACATTTCCCAAGTTGCTGATTGGGAGAATTTGTGAAACAATCTAGACCGTTTTTAGTTGGTGATCATTGCCTTCATTCCCTCAACCTTACATTTTGATTCAGGGGTGATATTGTAAGGAGAAATTAGATGCTAGTCACTTTTAGGGTCAAAGGGTTGAGGGCAACTTTCAAAGAATAATCGCTGGGATCATAGTTATATAAGCAGACTGCTAGTCAAGGGAAAACTTTAAGGATGAACAGTTTCATGAAGTATATGAATTTAGTTGACGGCACTGCATGACTGTAAAATTCCTCTTCAAGTAATACAGAGATACATGCCTCGCATAACGAGTAAAATATAAATAAATCCTATTTTTCCCTTTTTTTTTTTTTTTTTTTTTTTTTTTTGGGATGGGATCATATATAATTATCCAACAGTAAAATGAATGTTTTAAACTGAGCTGGTCATTCAGTGGTCTCCTTTTCAGATATTAATCAGTTAAATTTACTGCTTTTAGTAACTATTATTACCACCTGAAAATTGTGCAGAATTCTTGAAATTTCAATAAACAAAAAGGATTGCTCCACCAGTTTGAATAATTCTTTTACCTTTCATGCATAAAATAAGGGAGAACACTGGTCATTATGTGAGTCTGTAACATGCCCATGGGGGCTATGTATGTGCCTATTCTAGGGATAGTTATTTTTTCTCAACTGAGATATTTATGGTTGTCTGTTTTATTGCTTACAGGTACAGGTTGCCTCTTCCGTTCTGTTCAGCTTTGTGTGTTTGGCACACCACCAGAGACCCCAAGCGTTGAGAATGGTGGCATTAAACCTGAAGAGGATCCTCCTTTGCCAGGTTTTTCTCAGACAACTATCAAGCTTCTCTTTTGTGCTGCTGGTCTTCAAGTATCTTATCTCACATGGGGAGTCTTACAAGAACGAATCATGACAAGAAGTTATGAAGAACGTAGGGCAGATGGGACTGTAGAACTTGTGAAATTCCAAAACTCTCAATTCCTTGTATTCATTAACCGCATCCTGGCTTTGACAGTAGCCCTTATTTATATAATATTCACCCGGCAACCACGTCACACTGCTCCGCTGTACAAGTATTCATACTCTTCCTTTTCAAATATAATGAGCAGCTGGTGTCAGTATGAGGCATTGAAATTTGTCAGTTTTCCAACGCAAGTCTTATGTAAAGCATCAAAAATAATCCCTGTTATGATCATGGGGAAAATAGTATCAAAGAAAACATATCCATACTATGAATATGTTGTTGCAGTTCTCCTTTCTGGTGGGGTTAGCCTCTTTCTCTTGGCAGCTGATCCATCAGGAAAGCGAACTGCAGCAGCTACAACTTTTTCAGGTGCTGTTATTCTCTTGGGTTATATGGCATTTGACAGCTTCACTTCCAATTGGCAGTCAGAGCTGTTCACCCAACACAAAATGTCCTCCATGCAGATGATGTTAGGAACTAATCTCTTTTCCAGTCTGTTCACAATGTGGTCAATGATTGAAGGTGGAAGCTTCTTGTCCTCAGTTTGGTTTGCACTAAGCCACCCTGAGTTTGCATTCCATGCTGTATTGTTGTCTCTCATGTCAGCAACAGGACAGCTGTTTATTTTTTACACCATTCAATCATTTGGTCCAATTGTCTTCACCATTATCATGACCACACGGATGATGCTGAGCATACTTCTGTCGTGTATCCTGTATAACCACCCTCTGTCAGCTCAAGCAATGTTTGGTGTTATTATTGTATTTGTGGCTCTCTTTCTGAGGGTTTATGCTAGGTATCGTGCAAAATCTTCCAGTAAGTCCTAACTTCATTAGTTAAAATGGGCTGGGTAAGCAGAAAGCTGGTAATGAAAATTTTGGAAAGCATCCTTCAATTCTCTCTTTTGATGAAAAGAAGATGAATCTGCCACTGGCAATATTTTTCATGTACACACATACATACACTCTTATTTAACCCTTAAACTGCCATGAGTGACCAAGACAGGATTTCTTCTTAAAATATTAATACATTATCAACAAGATAAGTGAATAGAATAAAGAAAAATATCAGTTTGGGGATAATTAGTTAATCCAATACCAAATTCTCTGAACTAACATCATTAGAATTGTATGGTTGACAGTAAGGAGAATGACAATTTTGATCTGGGAGTTAAAGAGTTAAGAATACCAGGAGCATTGCTTTTGTGAAAGCTTGCTAAGTGCACCCCCCTCCCATAGAAAAAGATAAAATAAAAAATTCAGTTTAGTGCTCCTTCATCTGTAACAAGCAGTTATCCTATTGAACACTATGCACACCAAAGCTTAAACATGTTGTTTTTGTTTAACATGGTTTAAAATTGTTTTCTTCATTGCAATATATTTTCTTCATTGAAGCCACTTGAACCAAGTTTGTTGACTTCAAATTTAGTACTTTATAAATACATTTCGGTGATTACTTAATACCTAATAAACCTGAATTTTTCTTGGATGAAAAATTCAGGTTTTCTGTTTGTTTTTGATTTTCATTCAGTTATACACAGTTTGACAAAACATGTTTTTCTGGTGTGAATGGGACCCTTGTATTTATTAAACTGTTCAATCTTCCTTATTTTTGAGTGGAGAAAAGTTTCATTATTACAGTGATTACAAATTATAAAAGTTGAGTTTACTGTGATACCCAATCACTTAGTGATCTCACTGTTCCACTAGTATAATGTGTTAAGTAATAAAATGAGTTGAAAATTCTCATAAGATAAAGATGTTTCATTTTAAATCACTACTATTATATACAGCTTTTTTCAAGTTTAAAAGTATGCTTCTCTATTCAGTTTTAGAGTTGGCATGTAGTTTTTTATTTGTTATTATTCATTAAAATGTGTAACACTATTTTTAGACCAAGCTTAGGTGGTTTCATACTTTAGTAAATAATTCAATTCGGGTTAAATATCTAGGGAAAAGTTCTTGTGAATTATGGAGTAGAAAGGTTGTTGGGTAATTCAGCTTCTCCTTTAAAAAAAGGCGATCTGGCCAGCTTTATTATGAAGTATGTCTTTACTCATGATTGTGACTTAGTAAATCAACAGAAACTATTATTAACTGTCCTTAATGTGAAGTCTCTAATGACTAATTCTCTCTGGTAAGCTTTCATTCTGAGCTTCAGGTTTTCATTAAAGCCTCTTGAGATCTCTATATCTCTAAAATTTATGATGTCATTCTTTCCTTAACTAAAGCTTTGCAGGTGGTTATATCAAATTTGTTAGGTAGCATGTCAGTACAAAATAGACATTTTTGTGTGGAATGCCTGTATTAGATTATATTTTAAATATTTGGGTAATAACAAACAAAGAGATGCATTCTGCATATGATATTCATTAAAGACTGGTGGAAGTTACAAAGGGAAAGAGTTTCTCATATTTGGTGTCCCAATGGGTCTTTGATATGTGTCCCCATTTGAAAAAATTAACCCTTCAACCCCAAAGAGTGACCAATTTTACATGAGGACATCGTTTACTAGGTGATGGCCATGTGAGATGTACTTTCTCAAAAGTGTCAAATTTGTGATCACAAAATGGCAGAGTTAATCATGTCCGCTGTTTCTATAAATTTGGTTTAGCTTGGAAGGAGGCTCTCCTAAGCACAAGCCTTCACTAAGAACAACCTTGGGTTCAAGTATTTCTGAAGAGCATTTTAGTCAATCGTGATCTTTTCGTGCCCGTATAAGCTTCTGAATACGATCCAACACGATTTCATTGCCACATCTGCAGCTTTCAGGATCATACGGAGGTTCCACAAGTAGAACTCCCATTACTGATAATACAGCATTGTCTTCCGAACTTTCCGTAACTGGAATTCGATTCTTCGTCAGCCACTCGATCAGATCGCCTTTTCGTTTCAAAATTTCATCTTCTGAATACTCCTTAGAGTTTCCCAATTCAATAAAATTAATCTTTGCCGGACGGTGACCTCCATTTTCCTCTTGAACAACGCGCGTGATTGCATGCCCTAGAATATAAGTCAGCTTCTTGGAAGTGAGGTTATCCGTTTCTTCTTGTAGAACCACGGTGTATGTCACTGGGTCGATGGCAAGTACCCATCCTTCTTTCCTACTATTGTCACAGAGACAAATACTTATTTTCTTGTCAATGAATTCTTGCAAAGAAACGCTAGAAAGAGAGGTCCAACTTTCAACATGTCTTATAATGTCCGCCATTACGCACAACAACCGCTGATTGATAGCAGGCGACTCATTCCCAAGCTCTTTCGGCTGCTCCGAAATCCTGTCCTACCCAACATCATCAATGAGGCCTGACCATCAATCTTTGACATACGGACATTCGAACCCACGGGGAATGGCGGAGTGACCGCTTAAACAGCTGGTTCCACAGATTAGGGGTATTATAAAAAAAAAAATCGCTAAACAACGTCACTTTATACCATAATTGACCACTTAAAGTGCAGAATCTCGCTCGAAAATACTACCTACTTCGATTTTGTAAGAGAAACAGGGATCAAAAAATAATTTGAAAGATTATTCTTGATTTTATTTGAGTAGTCCCATTTTCAGTGACCGTTCACATTCAATACAGGAGGAAGACAATAAAAACAGGCCATTGACACTCGGTAAAGGATGACCACGATCGCTTAATCGAGGTGAAAATTACAGAGATTAAGGGGAAACCCTGAAATTCGGGACTTTGACAACTGACCACTATATACAGGTTATAACCGCTTAATACGGTGCTGCTTATTTCAGGTTCAAATGTACTAAGAGAGGAGATGGAACTTGCCCCTTCTATTACTATCTCGGTCAGTGGAGGTGAGTGAAACAGTTTGCGAAAGACGTTCAGCGGTTATAACAAGGGGGAATTGTAGCAATACTGCCACCAATTTCGCCTTCCACTTTTTGGTTGTCTCCAACGATCGAAACTCTAGCACACACTGTACACAAAATAGTCCCTGTAATTATTAGACATTTAATTTTTTACTCTACGTTCTGAGGCCTCCTGTTTTTAAAAGTTTCTCAAGGCGATTGTTATTTCCTGTAGGTTTTGGTTGCAGAAGGAAGATCTCTCGGAGTGAGCAGTCATTTGTGCAACAAACAAACAAGAAACACATTCATTAGATCGAAACAAAAAACATCTTTTATTCAGTTACGATTGAACATCTGCAAAAAAGGAAAAAAAAAGTTGGGATTAGTGAATAAAACCTTCTATACGTTACCACTAGCTAAAGCCACGGTTAGCTCTCAATAATCAATGCAGTTTTGTTATGAATATTAAGGTTTATTTCATTCGTATTTCACCCATCCTTCAGTCGACGCTCGTTCCATTTTAATCTTATACGTGTGTGATTTCAGACCAAACTGCACTCCACTCAGTTTAATTGTCATTAAAAATTTCCCTTGCCGGTGCAATAGGAAACTTAGAGAGAACGATGTGGAAGATATACAGACTGACTTAGTCAGGGTGTGAAGGGCGAAACACTTGAGCTACTTATTGGGAAACAGGTCGGTTTATGTACGATAACAGACTATCTTCACATCCATTCAGAAACCAATAAAGATGCATCTGTCATAGTAAAATTCCTCATACACTTACATTGATAAATTCACATCTACTTTAACATAGATTTGGAAAACCCAAAACTTGTAATTAATCTGAAGGATTTTCATCCTAGGACAAGAAAAAAAAATCCAAATTAGAAAAACGTACTGATTTAATATGAAGATAAACAAACGACTTATTGGATGGATTGATTAATTTTGAATCAGTGAAATGACTTAAAGGCAAATATTCCAACAACGGCTCGAACGATCGATCGTGCACTTCTCGATCGTACAATTCTGATTGGTAACTACTTGGCCAGAATATCTGCCACTTTCGCAACCAAACAATGCAATACTTATTAAGGGCTTTGTTCTTGTGTTAACTGACGAACGCGACTTTGACTTGCGATAGCCACTTTGAACTGGATATATTCACCTCTTCCAGTTCAAAGTGGTGATCGGCAGCTCAAAGTTGCGCAGGGTCTGTTGCAGAGAAAACTGGCGTTACTGTCTCAACCAATCAAATACAAAAATAAAACTTATTGCATGTGACTTGATCACTGCTGTTTTCTCGCGCTTCTTACCCGTAATATTTATCACTTTACTGTTGGTTCTTATTTGTTTTCGTTTGATATTTTTATTGGTACTTATTGCCTCATCTATTTTTCTTTTGAAGGTTTGTCGAAAAGTTTTTTGCTAAACACTTGTAGCGTCAGGTTGAGTCAAGAAACAAAGATTAAGAAGAGAAACAATTGTTATGGCTAACTATCGATTCCAGAGTGATAATTAAAAGGGCCCAGCTTTAAATATCTTTTTGTTTTATATTTTTTTTGAAGAGAATTATACACCTACAGCAATGATGATGCTTTCATCGTCTGACAGTAGGGATGAAAATCCAGAGATTTGGTCAATCTACAAAGAAGTCGAGAAGATGCAAATGAAATAGGGAACAGAAGAAATGGAGACCATGTGCTGTAAGAACATTTGTAATGTCATCAAGATTCTCGTTTTGAGTCTGACAAATCCTGCGCGACAGTGGTGTAAATCGATCGTTTTTCGCAGGAAATTGACTCGATAGCCTGGCGGATGATTCAGATTATGCTTGGTTTTAAGACGGTGCACAGGTCAGTTACTAAAGAGGACTTTTAAGGAGCTACATCACAACAGTTTTATTTGTCTTTTGAGTTCATGAAAATTATGATAGTCGAGGGAAATTTTCTAGGAACAATTTTTGCAGGTAGAGAGAAACCTGAAGAGACAAGAAGCAACCAAAAGAAAGTAAAGAAGGTTGAGGTTAAAAAGAGAAAACATGAATCGTAGATGGATATATGAGAAATTCTGGCTACATTTTCAGGAAGCACTATCTGCCATGAAACCCCTTACAGTCAAATAGATTGATTTTGGATCTACTTGGCACTGATATCAGCATACCTCATTCTCTGCTGTCGTATTTACCGCGGATGAACCACATGCAAGTGCCAAAGGTTCTGAAGACTGAAGGCAGCTGAAGAACGGATGGTATTGGAAATTGTCAACGCCAAGCCTCACATCCGGGCATTTTTGGAGAAGCTGCTTATACAGAAATAAAAGATTTGTTTCGTTAAAATTGAAATACCTGACTTAAAAAATGAAGTGCACTATTTCCTCTTCAGTGTTTGCCAAAAATATTAATTTAGAAACACTTTAAAAAGAGAGTTGTTTAAACTTTTTTTTGCAAATTACAGTGGGTCCTTTTAGTTCATCACAAAAGTTTGTGATCCGTAAACCTCTATGATCTAATTTTTTATTTTGAATTCAATTAATTTTGGTTCGTTCATAACGTTTACTTTAAATTTTGTTGAGTACACACCTCAGGGTGTCAGTTACAGCTTGAAAAATTTGAAAATATTGATCTGTAAATTTCTTGTATTTCCTCTTTAACCGGAATCTTGGTGATTTTTTTCGTCAAATTTACCGAAGCAATTCTATGATTCCTCGCGCCACGTGTGCATGTTAAATGCCAATGTTTTTAATCAAACTTAATTTTGCAGTGGGGCAGAAGGAGATTAATTTTCAGAGGTTATGTGTGATAATTTTGAGGAAATCATTTAAGACAAAACAGTACATCCCTCAGTTTAAATTAAAAGAGGACAACCTTGGATTTCTTTGTCTTAAAAGGCAATTATTTCTCTTAAATCAATTGGGAAAAGGCTTTGTATTGTTTTCGAAAAGTTGTCTGACCTTCAAATAAAATGGTAGCTGATAAGTCTATATAACAAAATAAACAGAACAATGGAAATATTTAATTGCGTTGTGTGTCCCCCTGGTTTTGTTGGAGGCCAGATGAGTGTTCGAGGGGGTGGGTTACCCCTTTAATGTTGTTAGCTGATAAGCCTCGGTCAAATCCAAATCATTTTTTATTTCATATTTTGCAGGAAAGATGCAACGTCTTTCTAAACTATTTCAAAACGTGGAACGGACTGATTTTCTAAACTATTGAAATGAGCATATCAGTGGGAACTTTAAATTGTCTTCCAAATCTCTCGGTGGTAAAATATTTCCAAACTCTTTGACTGTCCCTTTGATGGAATCTGTTCTGTGACCTTTAGGATATCTGAAGCCTAAAACAGATCCCCTTTTCGGGTGGAGTCTCCCCTTACCATGTTTGCCATAGGCGGGTGTCCTATTCCCACGGGACGAAAGGTAATGGCAATTAATGATTACTTCATTGTCAAAAGTTTGATTCATAAGCATTTGTGTCCTTCCGAAGGGCGAGTTATTGTGTACAAATGTAAACATATTTGCAATGTGTGAGTTGTTGCAATATTATTTGTACAAACCTTGCCGGTCAGCATCAGGAATAAAGTCACGCCAAAGGACCACCAGTCCACAGAGTAAGTATAAGACTCTCCCATGATCATCTGTAACAGATTAAGTGGAGTTTATTGGCATTGCAAAAAGTGTATTAACAAATTCAACTGCGTGAGCTTGGTTGAAACATCAGTGTATTAACAAGGGCGCGGCCATGATCGTGTAGTAGGGGGGTCCTTCTACTTTATTTGTTGTCCGAAACTGAGAGCGGAGAGGCATAAAAAATGTTTTTTATCGTAATTTTTCAGATTCTCGTGACAAACAGAGAGGTTACCCACCCCTTTACTGTCGAGAAAATTGTTGGGTCTCGTTTGACAATGCCTTGATTTAAGATCGACCATAGCGGAAGATTATAGGAATACATTTTACCCTCAGAGAAGGAGGAGAAGAAAGAAGAACTTTCTTAAAAACCTTAAGAGAAGATAAATAATTGGTGAGAAAAAAACAGTAGCGATTTGAACAAAGACTTTTCAGGGTAATCTGCTACAAGCTTTATACCTCAGGCGCCATATATGGATAAGTTCCACATACTCCAGTGACTGCAAAGACGACAAATTCGCTCAGACCGAAGTCTGACAGCTTCAGGTGGCCATTTGAGGTTACCAGAATATTTTCAGGTTTTAGATCTCTGATGAAATAAGTTGGCAAAAACTTCTTTCACTCATTTTTAGTGTACATTACTTTACATCGGGGCAAACCAGATTTGCATCAATTTTTCTGTTACAATGGAAAATCTTCTACCCGTTCTTTCTCGATTCCAATCCCATACCGCTCATGTCAATTGTGGCTCCTCGATTTCAAAAAACAAGTTTTTTTTCTTTTTCTCGACCGCTAGTGGTGCATTATGTTTCAGCCAATTTGCATCAAGAAAACTGGTTAGACAGGGAAGGTAAGTTAGTCGACATTGGAATTAAGCCGGAATGAACGAGAAAATTTTTTTGTATCCTTGTAGCAATCGGAAAGAAATGGGTGTATACTGGCTGCGTTATTTTTCAAATATTTCTCTTTATCATTCCTATAATCCCTCTAGTTCCTGTTATTCTTGTCGTCAGTGTTATTGTTATCGTTGTTGTTGTCATTTTCTCTGTCGTTACTGTTATGGTTATCAATATCGTCTGTGTTGTTTTATAAAGGGTTCCAAAACACCGGGGAAAAAACAAATCTTTCTTCAGAATGAGACATTCCAGAGTACGTTATGCCACAAACATACCTGTGGATGACGTTTTTCGAATTCAAATATTTCAATCCCAGGCCGATATCGACAGCGTAAAACCTGAAATACCAGACGTTGTCGTATGAATACTTTTAATTGACTTTCTAAGTTGTAACCTGGGTCTTAGTCAGAAGAAAATAAGCAACTGCAAGTCTGCAAACTTAAAACTGAATGCGTTGACAGCGGCATAGAAAAAGCCTACATGTTGGTAAAGATTTAATGAGCACGAGTGACGATTAGGATAACAATTTTAAACACTTCCGGGATGCTCAGCTGTTTTCCTTCACAAGGCGTTGAAACTTCTTTTCATTTAAATCGTACCTGGCGCGTTCCTCACTCAGTTTTCCTCCCTGGGCTCGCAGAACTCCAGCAAAGTCCCCACCGGGCAAATACTCAAGCGCTAAGGCTGTTTTTGTGAGCTGAAAGAAAAACATTCTGTTTAGTTTATTGACATCAGCATCACGGCTGTGTTGATTAATGCTTTGTTTCTTTTTTCAACAAACTGGCGTTAATTACTTAATGAATCGTTCATTAAAATTCATTTAATCCCTCCCTAAGGCATTGTGACTCTTCCTCATTGGAATTTCATTGACGATCAAATTCCTCAAGCTCCTCCCTTATGCTCTGTTAACGACGACTAATCCCTCCTCCCTTCCCCCTTAAAATCAAGTAGACCCCCCCAAATCCTTTGGACCCCAAGATTGGCTCGTAAACAATAACTAACTATTCGTTAATAAAAAAAAACTGACTGAGATAGTGGCAGGATCAACTTGCGTTCAGTTTAAAACAATGAATTCCTCAGCACGCTTATTGTTGCCTCCTGAAGGCATGATCACTCCACTGCTACGATGTGCAAAGTTCCATGGCCACGCTAGTAAAATATTCCTAAATATGGACGTGTTTTATCTGCTCCTGTAGCCAACCTTTCTGTATGTATTCAAAAGCCGTTTCTTAGGTACATACTTTGATGGTAAACGCCCGGCATAACTGGGTAACCCTGGAACTCCCGGCCAAGTGGAGGAGGATGATTGTTTCTTTCAACACCATCGATTTGTTTGCTTCATTCTCCTTAAAGGTTTTTACTGCATAATATCCATGGGTTTTTCGGCAATAAAATTGCGCTACCTGAAGTAGGAATAGAATAGCCAAGCATTAAAGAATCTGCTTAACAGTACTTTGGGCAATTTGTAGTGACATTAATTGACGCAACCTTTAGTTTTGGTTTTCCCCAGTCTTCTAAACGCCGAACGACTCCGCATTGCAGCAGCCCTCTTTCCCCAAGAAATTAATAAGAATTGAAGATAGACTGAACCATGGATCAAATTTGAAAATAATCAATCCTTGAGACTAAACAAGTCATAACTATCTCTAATTTAAGTATCTAATTTTCCTAAATCCCCTGATGGGTGGGCAACCACGAAACAGGCCTGTAAGGATGAACTTTTAGTTTATTTGTCTTCTTCCTCCCACAATATATATATATATATATATATTATATATATTTATATTTATATTATTTATATAACAGAATCTCCTACCTCGCCAAAGCCTCCTTCCCCAAGTTTCTTAACTTCAAATAGGTCCTGGAAATCAACGTTGTACAAATCGTCCACTCTTCGCATTTTGGTAGGATAATCGGACATCTCCTGACTTTTTCTTTTTCTACGGATCTTTGTACAGAGCAAAATGGAAAAAATTAATTGATTTCATTGGTGCATTGCAAGGAATGGTGATACGCGTGGCTTAAGTTTTGCATGGGAACGCTCTGCATTCATGGCTAAACCCTTAGCCTTTAATACTGATAAATGTATCAAATGTTACAGAAACACAGCCAATCAGATGGCTAGAAAGGTGCTTAATTATTTTATATAGTCTGAGAAAATGAGACAAAAATAAAGAGTACACGGAAGTGTCCGCGTCAGCTGGCAATGCCAACTTCAAATCTCGTTAGATTATATCACACGTGAGCCGCACGTGATTACGAAATAAGAAATTAAGGGGGGAGGAAAAGATTGAAGTTTGAAATATTGAATTTAAAACTAATTGTAGCATTGTATAATATAGTCACTTGCTTTGCATAAGCATTATTATGAAAAGTTGTCTGAATTACTATATTCTGACTACACTCAGACGAGTTATTCAATTAATGTGAAAAGTTTATTTAGGATGAGTCAGCCAGTCTTGTGGTATAAGCATCCTAAAATGATCTTAACATTTGTACACTGAAAACCAAGGGTTCTACAAAAAGAACCTGTGCCACGCCAGATACGACAAACAGCAGCACAATACCCCGAGGAAAGGGTTAACTAAGCTGGTTACGCTGCTAATCAGAAAGAAAAGTTAATGAATGTCGTAATATTTTACAGGGATTTGAAAAAAGAAAAGTATATTAATACAAAAGGAAAAAAAAAAAGAAAGTGGTCAAACATAATACTGACCGACCAACAATGACTTCATTTTCCCATGAAACGCTTAAATAATCCGAAACTTCCATATGCCACGCGAACCTCTTCAATATGCCATCAGAATATTAATTTCTGATGGCACGTTCCCATGTCACTCAAACGTCAGAAATTACATTTTTTCACGCTTTTCATTTCTAAGCAATCAAATGATTGCTTGTTCAATTTGGAATAAACGAGCACTCGTTATTTTTTCAAAGACAAAAAATCCACTCCCCTTGCGGTCAATATTTTTTGGTCTTTGGGATGTTTAAAAATGCAGAAGTTGAACACGGACTACAGATGAAATAAGTAAAATTTAGATCACTAAGGCTAAAAATTATTACCCTTCGTCTAGTTCTGTACTCTCTCCAAGCTTTCGGTATTAGTTTGGTTGCTTTGAGCTGTCAGGAGAAAAGTAGTAATTATATACTGATAAAGTTTAATTGTGTAGATAAACCAGTAGGATCTCAATACTGTATTGTTTTTTTCACGTTTGTTATTTATTAGTAACAAAATCAATCATTTTTTTCTTCTTCAATCTGGAATGAATAAGCACTCGTTTTTTTTTAAAGACAAAAAATTCACTCCCTTTACGGTCAATATTTTTTGGTCTTTGGGATGTTTAAAAATGTAGAAGTTGAAAACGGACTACAGATTAAATAAGTAAACTTTAGATCACTGAGGCTAAAAATTATTACCCTTCGTCCAGTTTGGTAGTCTCTCCAAGCTTGCTGTGTTAATTTGGTTGCTTTGATCTGTTAGGAGAAAAGCAGTACTTATATAGTGATAAAGTTTAATTGTGTAGATAATCCAGGATGATCTCAATTCACGTTTGTCATTTTTTAGTAATAAAATCATTTATTTTTTTTTCTTGTCCATTCTGGAATAAATAAGCACTAGTAATTTTTTCAAAGACAAAAAATTTCTCTCCTCTTACAGTCAATCTTTTTGGTCTTTGTGATTAAAAATGTAGAAGTTGAACACGGACTACAGATAAAATATGAAAAATACAGAATACTATGGCTAAAAATTATTACCCTCCTCGTTCTTCGATGCTTTCTCCAAGCTTTCTGAATTAATTTGACGGCCTCAATCTGTCAGGAGAAAAGCATTATTTATATACTGATAAGTAATTATATATTGATGATAATTGTGAATCCATTTCCCTGATAAGGCCATGGAGTCGAAAGGGAACAAATAATGTCTTTTAGAAAGAATCTCATCTTGTTGGATCGGATTACAGCTAAAATCGCCGAGAAAGTCTTAAAAATAATGAAACTTGCAGTTAAGATTTAAAAGACGTGACGCCTTTTGAATCTTAACGGCACATTTATTCTGCAAAGTAAATAACAATTTTGATAATGTCAGCATAAAATATCAGCGTCTTAAAGTCGTCACGCCATGTTGAACTACATAATAGAGGTCTACTTTCTACGAAAAGTCTCTTCTGCAGTCATCCGCCTACAACGGTCACCTCCGTACACCGGCTGCCTTCCTAGAAATGACCACCTCCTCAGAAGGGCCACCTCTCTACACAGGACACCTACCCATGAACCGCCTCTTTCTTACAACAGCCACCCCCTCACAATGACACAGCAACTAAAGCGCGTCCCAACTGCAACGAGACTCATCTTTCGTCAAGGGCCAGTTTAGAAAAATATTTGTTGCTGAGAACCCTGTCAGCTTTATATCACTAAAGAGTGGGTGAAATTTTTGCAATACCTAATTAAGGGACGCTATGAAAAATGATTTAACTTCTGTTCCTTGCTGGTTCAGTCACGGTTAGGATGTTTTTCACAAGCATCACTGTTTGTTTGTTTGTTAGTTTGTTTTGTTTTGTTTTGTTTTTTCTAATCTATTTATTTTCATTGTAATTGTAATGAGATGATGTCACCATAAGCACGTTTGAAGAGTTGTAAAGTTGAAGCCCAGTGTACATGGAGTGAAATATCTCACTCTCGATTTGGATTTCCTTTAAAAAAGCGAATTTATTGTAAACCACATGAAAGAAAATTTTTGATAATCCCACCATTTTATATAACTGAAATCACTCCATAAAATTAAATGATTGAATTTACCATGTATAACTGTGATCATGCTGTTATTACTATATCAAATTACCTGAAATTCAAGTCTTTTTAATTTTAGTCGACGCCAAGCCCGTTGAATTATGGACGCACATTCATTCTGCAAAGAGAACAAACATTATGATATCAACAGTTAATATGAGCATCTAAAATATCCATGATTATCGCATCAAATTTCCAGTTTTATCATCTTAAGACTTCATATTCTGTTTATGTAGATATCAAAGGTCTATTTTTTTCTGTAGAACCGCTGCGGCCAATGTTTTGAAAATGGTCTTCTCCTTACAACGGGAACTTTCTCAACAACGATTAACTTTTAACAAACGCCATATTTCAACAATGCCCTCGTCTCAAGAGCAACATCCACCTCACAACGCCCACCCCCTTATGACGGCAACCTTTTCACAACGTTTCGGTAACTTGAATGCGTCCAGACAGCTGATTCAAAAACCCGACTGACGGGGGTATAACAAGATGTGTTTTCAAAGACAACAAAATTCTTTCCCCTTGGAGTCAATTTTTTTGGTCTATGTGGAGGATTAAAAATGTAGAAGTTGAACACGGACTACAGATAAAATATGAAAAATACAGAATATTATGGCTAAAAATTATTACCCTCCTCGTTCTTCGATGCTGTCTCCAAGCTTTCTGTATTAATTTGACAGCCTTGTTCTGTCAAGAGAAAAGCCGTAATTATATACTGATAAGTAATTATATACTGATGATAATTGTGAACCCATTTCCCTGATAAGGCCATGGAGTCGAAAGGGAACAAATAATGCCTTTTAGAAAGAATCTCATCTTGTTGGATCAGATTACAACTAAAATCGCCGAGAAAGTTTTAAAAATAATGAAACTTGCAGTTAAGATTTAAAAGACGTGACGCCTTTTGAATCTTAACGGCACATCAATTCTGCAAAGTAAATAACAATTTTGATAATGTCAGCATAAAATATCAGCATCTTAAAGTCGTCACGCCACGTTGAAGTACATAATAGAGGTCTATTTTCTACGAAAAGTCTCTTCTGCAGTCATCCGCCTACAACGGTCACTTCCGTACACCGGCTGCCTTCCTAGAAATGGCCACCTCCTCAGAAGGTTCACCTCTGTACACAAGACACCTTCCCATGAACCGCCTCTTTCTTACAACAGCCACCCCCTCACAATGACACATTGCTGGTTCAGTCTCGGTTAGGATATTTTTCGCAAGCATCACTGTTTGTTTGTTTGTTTTGTTTAGTTTTTTCTAATCTATTTATTTTCATTGTGATTTTAATAAGATGTCACCATAAGCACGTTTAAAGAGTTGTAAATTTGAAGCCCAGTATACATGGAGTGAAATATCTCACTCTCGGTTTGGATTTCCTTTAAAAAAGCGAATTCATTGTAAACTACTTGAAAGAAAATTTTTGACGTTAACTTTTGGAACCCCCTTCCCTTTTTATTTTAAAATAATCCCACCATTTTATATAATTGAAATCGCTCCATAAAATTAAATGATTGAATTTACCATGTATAACTGTGATCATGCTGTTATTACTATATCAAATTACCTGAAATTCAAGTCTTTTTAATTTTAGTCGACGCCAAGCCCGTTGAATTATGGACGCGCATTCATTCTGCAAAGAGAACAAACATTATGATATCAACAGTTAATATGAGCATCTAAAATATCCATGATTATCGCATCAAATTTCCAGTTTCATAATCTTAAGACTTCATATTCTGTTTATGTAGATATCAAAGGTCTATTTTTTTCTGTAGAACCGCTGCGGCCAATGTTTTGAAAATGGTCCTCTCCCTACAAGGGGAACTTTCTCAACAACGATTAACTTTTAACAAACGCCATATTCCAACAATGCCCTCGTCTCAAGAGCAACAACCACCTCACAACGCCCACCTCCTTATGACGGCAACCTTTTCACAACGTTTCGGTAACTTGAGTGCGTCCAAACAGCCGACTCAAAAACCCGACTGACGGGGGTGTAACAAGATGTGTTTTCAAAGACAAAAAATTCTCTCCCCTTACAGTCAATTTTTTGGTCTATGTGGAGGATTAAAAATGTAGAAGTTGAACATGGACTACAGATAAAGGATGAAAAATACAGAATATTATGGCTAAAAATTATTACCCTCCTCGTTCTTCGATGATTTCTCCAAGCTCTCTGTATTAATTTGACGGCCTTAATCTGTCAGGAGGAAAGCAGTAATTATAAACTGATAAGTAATTATATGCTGATGATAATTGTGAATCCATTTCCCTGATAAGGCCATGGAGTTGAAAGGGAGCAAATAATGCCTTTTAGAAAGAATCTCATTTTGTTGGATCAGATTACAACTAAAATCGCCGAGAAAGTTTTAATAGTGAAACTTGCAGTTAAGATTTAAAAGACGTGACGCCTTTTGAATCTTAACGGCACATTAATTCTGCAAAGTAAACAACAACTTTGATAATGTCAGCATAGAATATCAGCATCTTAAAGTCGTCACGCCATGTTGAATTACATAATAGAGGTCTACTTTCTACGAAAAGTCTCTTCTGCAGTCATCCGCCTACAACGGTCACCTCCGTACACCGGCTACCTTCCTAGAAATGACCACCTCCTCAGAAGGTTCACCTCTGTACACAGGACACCTTCCCATGAACTGCCTCTTTCTTACAACAGCCACCCCCTCACAATGACATATTGCTGGTTCAGTCTCGGTTAGGATGTTTTTCACAAGCATCACGTTTGTTTGTTTTGTTTTGTTTTTTCTAATCTATTTATTTTCATTGTGATTGTAATAAGATGTCACCATAAGCACCTTTGAAGAGTTGGAAAGTTGAAGCCCAGTGTACATGGAGTGAAATATTCCACTATCGATTTGGATTTCCTTCAATGCGAATTCATTGTAAACATCTTGAAATAAATATTTTAATGTTAACCTTTGGAACCCCCTTCCCTTTTTATTTTAAAATAATCCCACCATTTTATACAACTGAAATCGCTCCATAAAATTAAATGATTGAATTTACCATGTATAACTGTTATTATACTGTCATTACTATATCAAATTACCTGAAATTCAAGTCTTTTTGATAGTCGACGCCAAGCCCGTTGAATTATGGACGCGCATTCATTCTGCAAAAAGGACAAACATTTTGATATCAATAGTTAATATCAGCATCCAAAATATCCATGATCATCGCATAAACTTCCAGTTTCATCATCTTAAAAACTTCATATTCTGTTGATGTTGATATCAACGGTCTATTTTTTTCTGTGGAACCGCTGCGGCCAACGTTTTGAAAACGGTCTTCTCCCTACAACGGGAACTCTCTCAACAACGATTAACTTTTAACAAACGCCACATTCCAACAATGTCTTCCTCTCAAGAGTAACATCCACCTCCTTATGACGGCAACCTTTTCACAACGTTTCGGTAACTTGAGTGCGTCCAAACAGCCGATTCAAAAACCCCACTGACGGAGGGTGTAACAAGATGTGTGACAACTCGAGCAAATAGACAATCGCTGATAGCTTTATTTCACTTAAAAGGAATTAAATTGAGAAATCTGAAGCAATTAATCAATATGTTACGCTGCTTGCTCAGTTTAGTTTAACAGTTTTCTGTGAATATAAATGTTTGTTTTGCATGCTGCAATGCTATAATGGGAATTTCAAAAATGAAAATATTCTCCAATAGCCCCTCAAAGATAAGACAGAGACGGAAAATCATTCCCCCCTAATGGCTACCTTTATACCAATCCGCTACTTTCCGCTTTCTACAAAGTAAAATTTAGAAAGTTACAAGTAAACTACATCTTAATTTCCTCAAGGAAGATATTCCATTTAAAAATGTTTAAAGCATATGACACTAGTTGACAAGTTAGCAGCTTTTCAAAACACTGCTGCGCCGCTTCGGTGGGTGAGTGAAACAAAGGTTTTGTTATTCAAAGTTTTTTCATTTGTGGTATTTTGGACAAAGATTGATTAGATTTTCAAAGAGTCTGAAATATTAGAGCTGCAAAGTCAACCATATGGGCTTCGAACCCGTTGAATTAACGTTGCAGCTCTAATTTGTCAGGAGAGAGACGGAATCATGTACTTGTTATTTATTATGTGTTTTACTTTCAGAAATGTCCTCTCCTTTTTATAATGGGCGTTGTTGAAATCTTGACAACTGAAAAAAAAAGTAAACTAAAGACTTGCTCGATTTGTTTTTTTTTCCCATCATGGTGTGATTCTTATCTTCTCTTGACAATTTTCATAGTTTATTTTCTTCTTTGAGAAATACAATAAAAGAAAACCTTTTTGCATTAGTACCTCTGAAATTAAATATGGCCCAAATAAACAGTTCTGATGAAACTTTTAAATTTTGTTTTGTCGGGGTTTGGAGTTTTCTATAATTATGCCGGGCCCGCTCCACGCAGTACAGTTGTTAGCACGTAATCCTTCCTCATTGGAAGCTTGAAAAAAAAAATAATAAGCAATCTGCTACGTTGACACGGCATTACAAAGAAATCAGAATACCTGTCTTTGCTGTTCTCCATCTTTCTTGCGGGCTTCCTCTTCAAAACTGAAAAAAAGAAATGTTAGCGCAACAATGACGGCTACCAATAATACTTGGTTGCAACACAAGTTTTGCAAAAATAAAGCCTTGTTCTTTCTATTTATTTAGTGCAAAGATGTTAAATACCTTGAGCCTGCCTCAAACACATAGTTTAAACTTAAACTCTTGAACATTCACATTAATGTAGAGTAGCTGGTGAAGCAATTTAATAGTTTGACAAAGCAAGCCGCGCAATCGGTCTGTAAAAGTTTTTCGTTGTTTATTTACAAACTTAAAACTTTTATCGAAATTGGACTGAATGATTAAAGACCTACCTTTCTTTGCATTCAGTTTCTGACCTCTGCCAAAAATAGTCCCTGAAACATGCGAATGTAAAAAAACTTATCCAAGACGTTACAAAAACCATCTTGGCCTTTGTAATATTTTCCCAAGTCTGATTTACGATCAGACTGCGTCATAATAGCAGCCTTTTCTTTTAAGCGCGCGCTAGAAACAGAAATTCATGAAGAATTACATTTAAAGTAATATTAACGCGAGAACCTCCCTAGT